AAGCACCGGTGTCCCAGGGCAAGCCTGGGCCCCAGGCCTCCCCTCTACACCAGCAGCAGTCCCCTCTCCCCCAGCCACCCCAGCCACCTCAGCAGCTACAGCAGCAGCCTCCCCTTGCTGCAGTCAAGATGGCACGGCACATCGAGATGATGGCACAGGCCCAGCAGAACCAGCAGAACTACCGGGTCAACATGAACGGCTTGCCCATGAACCCCCAGCAGCCACAGCAGCGCATGACCGGACCAATGCAGCCACCCATGCAAATGGTGCCAGGACCCCGGGGACCACAGGTCATGCAACCTGGCATGGCTCCAGGACAGTGGCCTGGAGCTGCAGGGCCTATGCAGGCAGCTCAGACTCAACAACCAGGCCTTGTCCCAGGCCAGACCCCACAACAGGCCATGACCATGCAGCGAGCCATGATGCCTCCAGGGCAGCAACCTCAGGGCCAGAGGATGCTGATACCACAGCAACCCGGTGCCCGGCCACAAACACCCCAGAGACCTGGCGCTATAGCCCCCAACGCCCTGCAGGACCTTCTGCGCACCCTCAAGTCTCCCAGCTCACCCCAGCAGCAGCAGCAAGTCCTCAACATCCTCAAATCAAACCCTCAGCTAATGGCTGCTTTCATCAAACAGCGAACAGCCAAGTACCATGCCAACCAGCCGCAGCAACAGCAGCAGCAACAAACAGGTCAGCAACAACAGCCCGGCATGCCAACAATGCAGGCCATGGCCATGCCGGGAGGGGCGGTGCAGAGGCCGGGGATGCCCCCGCAGCAGCCCCAGCAGCCTCCTGCGCAGGGCATGGCAGCATTAGGGGCTCAAGGGCAGCTGCTGAACGCAGCACACAACACCAACCCCCAGATCCAGGAGCTCTACCGTCGGCAGCTCTTAAGACAACAGCAGCAGCAACAGCAGCAGCAGCAGCAGCAACAGCAGGGAGTGATGCCTCAGGGCCACCCCGGCCAGTTCCCTGCACAGACGCAGGGTACGGCAGCTACATACTCCCAGCTCCGTATGCAGCAACAGCAGCAGCAGATTGCCATGCAGGCAGGCGCAGGAGCAGCTGGGGGACCCATGGGCCAGCTCCCGCCCATGGCTCAGATGGCCCAGCCCGGCATGGGGATGGACTCCACCCAGAACTTGCTGCATCAGCGAATGCTCCAGCAGCAACAGCAGCAGCAGCAACTTCCCCAGCAGCAGCAGGTCCTCAAGCAACAGATAGGCTCCCCTGCCCAGCCCAGCCCAATGAGCCCCCAGACTCATTTGCTGGCTGGCCAACCCCAGGGTGGAGCCCACCTCCCCGGCCAGCCCGCACTTGCCAACGCCCTCAGCAACCAGGTCCGTTCACCCGCGCCCGTCCAGTCCCCCTGTCCGCCTTCACAACAGCAGCCGCAGCCGCCACATTCCAGTCCCTCACCGCAGGTCCAGAACCAGCCCCAGCCCTCGCCGCAGCACCCGCCTCCATCACACTCGGGTTCCCCCCACCCGGGACTCGGGGGCCCGCTGCAGTCCATGGAGCAGGGACACTTGGGGACACCAGAACAGAGTGCCATGCTACCGCAGCTTAACACACCCAACAGAGGGGGGCTGAACAGTGACTTGGGGATGGTGGGAGATGCTACAGGGGACACTCTGGAGAAGTTTGTAGAGGGATTGTAGCATTTCTTGTGTGAACTAAAACAAAAAAAAACTAAAAAAACTAAAAAAAAAAACACAATCTCGCTCCCAGGGACCCACCTTCCCACTCCTTCCTCCCAGTTTCCCCCTCGGACTCTTTATGGCGTTAGAGGGCTTTGTTTGTTCTTTCTAAGATTGAGAACAGTTTTTTGTACTGACATGTAAAAAAACTTCAGTTGTTGTAAAAAGAAAAAAGGAAATTTGGTCGAGGAAAAAAACAAAACAAAAAAAAAAGTCAACACTTCTAGGGAATGAAATTGTTTCCTAAACCCAAATGGAAGGGTATTTCTTCCTTAGGATGTTGAGGGATTTGCAAGTTGCTTCTTAAATGAAATTTAAATCACAAAGAATATATTTTTTGGTTGAGACCAAATGTGTTCAATACTCAATTTATTTTTGGTTTGTTTTTGGTATGGTTTCATGCCTTTCTCATTTTTTTTTTTTTTTTCTTTTTCTTTTTCTTTTTTTTCTTTTTTTTTTTTTTTAAGAAAATGTACAATTGCATTATATTATTCATATCTTTTTATTTTGTACCTTTGGAAAAAAAAACGTAAAGCATTTTTGTGTTGAAAATGTAAAATAATTTGTCTGGGAATTGGGCCAGGTTTTTGTTCTCTTCTCAAACTGTCATTCCTGGCAATTGTACTCTAGTGTTGTACCATTACTCCAAGATGATGCGTTCAGGGACAGAGACTGCTCCCTTCCTCTTTGTGTGTATGAAGAGCACTCAGTTGTATTAAAATAGGAAATGGACTGCGCCAGGTTGTGTATACACGGGCATGTATGCAGGCACACATGAAGACACTGACACAAACCCTCACAGTCACTAAGAGAAACACAGCTCCGACTGGTTTCACCAACACAGACAACAAGGACTGCAGCCTACATCTCAGTGGCCTGGAATTTGGAAAAATCTGTCTTGCAGGTGTAGAAAATTGTTGCTTTGACATTAAAAACAATTTGTCATACTTTTTTGTCATACAAATGTTGTAAAGTGTAAAGAGAGTGTGAGAAAGAGACCAGCCCCCTAAGCTGAGGTGGAATGATCACCGGTTGTTTGTAGGCCACATCTCGGATGACGCCCCATCCTCTGAATTTTACACTAAGTTGTGTGTTATCTAGAGATGAAGGGCACATTTGAGATTCACCCCGAGGAAAACTAAATGTTATATCAACCCTCGTTCCTCTCTCACAAAAACTTGAATTGGGGGGATTTACTTTTTCTCCTATTGTAAATCAAGTTATTAAGCAAAATACTATAAATATAAGGAAGAGAGAATGAAATCACTGTATAAACTGGTAAAAGACTCATTTCTTACTTATATACCATATTGTTAAATAAACTGTGTGCAACAGAAGAACTCCAGTACTCTGTTGACTAAATAATGAGGCATCACTCCTCCTGTTGGTTTGTGTTCATTTGTTTCAACTCAGCAGTGTTTTGTCGTCCGCTCACCAGCAAGTCTGGAGAAACATTAGTGATGGAGGTCAGAAAAGTGTTTCTCAACCATGCGAGTCAGGTTGAAGAGTCTGTGTCAGCACAATTAATGAACCCTTTTCTTTTGAGGTCACTGTGTATGTCTGTTCTCCACCTGAAGTTCTACAGATTGTGAGTTTTTCAAGTGTTGTCACAGTTGTGATAGTTGACGTGTAGTGATGCAGCACTTCTCAGATAGAGCTCACATTTCAGAAACTAGGAAAAGGTCACCTCAGTATGTTTTGCATCTGTTAGTTGCAGGGATGTGGTGAACAGTAAACATCTTAATTGTTTCTTCACCTTTATTTGAGAGTTCACCCACTTACAATGTGTAAAGCATTAACAAATGGCAAAGTCAGCTCTGCTCGAGTCTCAAGTAAAGACTACATCTAACTTTAGGAAACCCCACTCAGGAGTTTAGTCGCAGACTTTGTCAATCACATTAGTTAAGCACCTGCAACACAACAAATATTTTCAACATACAGAATATCAGGCTTGTGTTTATCAAACCTCCGAGAATGACACCCCCTTGAGAGTAAGATATGTTGAGTGTGAGCAATAAGACGACTCCTAAAGTGATCACATGTATGCCCAGGGAAGGAATAACTAGTTAGAGTTATAGATTACATCTGACATACTATACATTGTTTAAAAAAAAATACTTAGTGGTATGTTTTTCTGCAAGATGCAATATTTGAAAAGTTAAGTTTATCTGTGTGAAAGGTTTAAATCTCCAACACGGGAGATTAAGCACAATTTAATATATATAAATATATAAATGGAGATGAAATGGAACAAAGGGGGGAAGGAATTAAGGAGAGAAATTTGACTAACATTCCCAAAGGAGTAGAATATTTGTATTTTTATATTTCAGTTCAAAATTGAATTAACAGTTTCGTAAATACGTGATCAGATCTACTTACTCTGTTTGTACATGTTCCGTGATGGTGTCAACAGATGTGAAGACAAGGTTTTATTACTCAGAGAAACATCAGCTTGTCTTTTTTCAGTGGACCTACTGTAATACTGACAACCTCTCAGATCCTTAAGGGATTATAATGTAGTATTTTAGCAGAACAAGAAGCTTGTTGAAAAAAGGACGAATAAGGCACATTTGGGATAAATAAAGAACAGTCAGTGACAAACATGTCACTTATAAATTACCCTGTTTCTAATTATTACACTTCTGTACATTTAGTATTTACAACAAACATTAACTCTGAAATTGCAGTCACATGACCTGGATGACAACCAGTCATTGGTGCTCTTACCGTCACATGACCGGAAGTTCGAAATGAAGCGGTTGCGTGTGAGTCGTTTTGAAATGAAAACAAACCTCGCTGGGCTCCTGTCTATGTTATTCGTCAAATAATTACTACCTAACATTTAGTATAAAAATAAACGAGACTCTCCACTGCGACAGATCCGTGAATGAACGGCCATGAGGCTGAAAGCTACAGCTGAAGAGCTAACTCATTAAAACCTGGGTGAGAATAAGGTGTTAGCGTGAGCAGCTAGCTTGCTAACTGATATTTTCACTATAAACAAACGCCTTCAAACATTATTTCCTAAAATATTGCCTCAAGTACAACATGATTATGTCTATGTGCGATTTGTCTATTTATCGAATGCTAGCGTTGCTGTTATAAAGTAAAAGAAGAAAACTGCGTCTTAAATTATGCTATCATGTAAAGATTGAGCTAATGATACTGTTCCTCTGTTGGACCCTGAACCCAAGTTTGGACACCAGTCGGTCCAACCTAAATGATCTGTCTGTGCAGGCTGCACACAGCCGGGGACATGCTGGCATGGCCTTTTAATGTGAGGAAAAGTACACAATCATGGATGACTCGGACCAGGATTTTGTAGATCTCTGCTCAAAGTTGCTGAAACGAGTTCGCAAGAAACCAGTTGAGCCCAGGCCGCCTCGGAAAGCGGAGCATCAGCCCTCCAGTCAGGCAAGTGAAGGCGACAAGAGAAGGAGAAATAACAAAAAGAATGGCGACTCTGGGTCTAAGGTCGCTTGGACCCAGTCTGTCTGCACTGGAGCAGGCCAACATGCGGTCAGTGGAGGGACTGGACGTAATGCAGGTGATGCTGGGACGTCGGCTGTGCTTGCAGCAGCAGCAGCAGCAGCGGGACCCAGAGCTGATAGAGGTGTGACAGCAAAAGACAAAGTCCTCAACAGGATGCAGCAGTTCAAGAGAACCAGTCCTCAGAGGATGGTGCACAGGAACAACAGTCAACCAACCACGCATGAGAACGACTGTGGACCTCTTTCACAGCCACAAAGACAAGGTGAGATGACATGATGCTATTTGCACAAATTTAAACCCAATACACTGCCTCCTTTGACACAGTAAGCAGCAGGGATAAATATCTGGTTTCTTCCCCTGCTCTTTTAAAAAGTTGTCATTGTGTGTGATTGAGATAACACCGGTTGTTTTCCTCTCTACACTCTTTCCTTGGGGTTGTTCTTAGGTTTCATTCTTTTCTTGAGCTCTGGCTTAAATTCACCTTAATGTAACATGCAGGACATAAAGAAAACCAGTACTTGTAATTTGTAATGTCAGTATATGTATGTTGTAATTATGGTAATGGTGTTTCACATTTGAGGGAACTGTGGACGTGTGTTATCCACAGTATACAGTAAAGCTTGGTGATATTGGAAATAGCAAATATCTCAATATTTTTGACAATATCCTTATATTGCTAATGTGATGGTATTTTGGTGTTTTTAGAGGGAGTTTATGAGAAGTAATGATGGCCAAGCAAATAGCCACATCTGTTAGGATAGATTAGTGAAATACTTTCAGAAACTTGTATTAATCACCTGTAATGCATCTTTTAGAGTGAAGACAATATTTCTATATTAATAATAACAACAGACGACATGTACTGTGAGCAGGGTCGCTCGTCATGATGAACCCACAAAGAATTATTACCCAACTCTTCAACTCTGTGGAGCATCTAAGTGTCTTTCAGCTCATTGTTTTAGTTCCCTTGCCCACAACTTAACTGTCTTTTGTATTTGTATGTTTTTTTTTGTATCTGGTCCAACCTCCTCTCTGTGAGCAGATCCACCAGAACCCTGCAGCTCTGTTCTCCAGCTGGACAGCGACGAGGCGCTGGCCCTGCGGCTGCAGCAGGAGCTGGACAGGGAGGCAGTGGAGGCAGAGACGGTGGACCTAGAGGACGAAGGCCTCTTCTTGTGTCAGATCTGCCACAGAGACCTGTCACACATGACCCCTGAGGGGCGAGCACAGCATCTCAACAGGTCTGGTCATTTATATTGTTGGTGCTTGACAGATGCTCGCACCCAAAGAGATTTGCAGGAGAAGTTTCTCGTTCAAACGGTTGACGAGCCATAGACTGATGGACACACTGAGAGTGAGAATGTCTGATCCCTCTTTGTAGGTGTTTAGATGAGAGTGAAGAGAGCGGCCCACCTCCTCCTCCTCTTCCTCCTCCCCCCCCTGGTGTCTCTGACTGTCCCATCTGTGGCAAGAAGTTCAAATCCCAGAAGAGTCGCTCTGCCCACCTCAAGCGCTGCTCCTCAGACATGGGCATCTCTCCGGCTGTGTTGCTGCAGGCTCTGCAGAGACAGGCTGAGGAGACCCAGAATGTCCCCACTGCTAACACACTGTGAGTCAGCCTCAGTACTTCAGTCCAGCACAAGACAGCACCATAATACACCTCTGAGCTTACTGTCAGTCACAATTATTGATGCATCTTCTCCACAAGCATTTTTGAGATGTTCAGAATTTGGCTGTTGATGGTGATGAGTGCACAGTTTGTGTGATGTGTTTGTCTGTGCTGGAGCTCAACCAGGTTTCTTTGATAGCTTTGGTCTGAAGGTGGCATCATTGCAGTCAGACTGATTAACAGAGAGAGAATGTTAAACTTAACCATCTTATTTCAGCACTTGCCAGTCTTTTCCTATAATAGGAGTAGCTTGCCTGTTACCTAACTTCAGTGTATGAGTACTTACAAAGCAAAGTCAAACCTCATTCTGGCCTTTGTGTATTTTTTTTCCCTCATTCAGTGCACAACCTGGAGGCACCAAAAGGAAAGGCCCCTCCAGGACGGGTCTCCCAGCGAGGAAGAAGCCCAGGAAGAAGACTGATCCCCTGGATGAAGACACCATGGTGGCTCTGGCTATGTCCTCCTCCCTGCTGGAACAAACCGAGGCTGCTGCCTCTCACACCTCCATGACCGCAATGCTGAAGTGGAGACCAGATGCAGGTAGAGTAGCATCAATACATCATCTGTCAACTCAAAAAAGAAATCTATAAAATATTAGGGTGAGACTTATAACTCACAGTGTAGCACAGTATATTACTGTTTTCATAAAACACTTTGAATCAACCAGATTCTCAGTTCAGTTAGTTGCAGCTTATGGTTTGTATTCATGAAAGTACTTTTTGTGTTCAGTTTAATTTTTTAAAAACAGTTCAGGCTTATCATCAACATTTAATCCAACTCAGCTCTGATACCTTTGTGTGTCTAGTAGTAATACCATCTTCAGGAATAATTTTAAAAAGTTGTATACACTGCCTTTGACTTTGCTTTATCCTCTTCTGTGGTCGAACAATAAATCAAAATGCAGGAACTTGGTCAATCAAGTAAACCGATGCTGCTAAACTAGAACTATGGCTAAACTGACTGGATTCAAACACATGGGAGTTTTTAAATTTTGTCCATTGAGGCTCTTATCTGGGGGTGGTGCGGTAATGTAGTGGTTTGCGGCACAGTCACCTCACAGCAAGAAGGTTCTGAGTGTGCATTTTCTCCCAGCGCCCGTGTGGGTTTCCGCTGGGTGCTCTGCTTTCCTCCCACAGTCCAAAGACATGCACGTCAGGTTTACTACCGACTCTAAATTGTCTGTAGGTGTGTGAATGTGAGTGTGACTGGTTGTTTGGCCCTGTGATTGACTGGCAACCCCGGCTCTCGCCCAGTCTCAGCTGGGATCGGCTCCAGCGACTCTCAAAGGATAAGTGTGTATGGATGGAGGCTGTGTGTGTGTGTCTATCTTTTCATTTATTGTGTTAATAACAAGTGTGTTTGTATTTTAGAATACAGTCTGTGTTGTATTGTGTGTCTGCTTGTGTGTTACCTTTGGCACAGCCTTTACAAGGTCTCCCTACTAATGTCTATTGGACATTTAACATACAAATGCATAGCGTACGCGGTGGGCAACAATTGGTTTCAGAATACACTGGTGGTATTTTCAGTTGTAGTACCCAGTTTTATAGATGATGATATAAAGATTATACTTTAAATACTCAGATTATGTGCAGATTTATGGGCTTGCAGATGTCTGTGAAGATTCTCTGTCACAATGTTTCACATATGTGAAAACATTTTAAGTTTCACGAAACGTCTTCAAGAACCTCAAACGAATCCAGTTGCCTTCATATAGCAGTTAAAAAGGCTTTCAGATGCAGGCAGCACCTGAACACTGTCTCCTCCTCCTCTTGGTGCAGGTAAAGGGCGTGGAAAGAAGAAAAAGGGTGCCGTCCCTTCTCCTCCTCCACTCCTCCTCATTCAGGATGCTCAGGAGGCCCTGATGAGGCTGCAGGAACGTGTTTCTGCTCTCCTCCTACGCAGCCGGGCTCCCTCTCCCCCCACCCCGACCCGCTGCCCCAGCAGTCTGTGTGGCCGGAGCGGTGCTGCCCCCCTCTGGCAGAAAAGCACACTGCTGAACGGCGGCTCCACCTGTCTGTCTGATTTCTACACTCCAGAGCTCAGAGAGTTCATCACGCCTTGGGAATCGGCAACGGTGAGAGCGACCACAGATATGACTACATACGGTGTTGTATTATGTCTGTCATGTTTGAACTGAATAGTTTATGGAAATCAGACTCAATGTCAGGACTGAACACTGGTAGGTCTGTCCTGTCCTAGAAATAGGAAATTAGGCAGGTTAACATTGAAAGTGTCTGAAACTGAAAGGGAGATGCTGTGTTTTGTTACTTATCTGTAACAGCTGACAGTGGAACCAGCTGTTATTTTCCTGGTCTGAAATCGTGGGTTGATGTTATTAATATGTATTAAAAAGCCATGACATTAAAGCAAGCATAGCATACAAAGCACACGTTGACAGCTGAGTTAAATCGAAACTGATCGTCTGCATGTTTAGACTAATACAACATCCTCCAACGCCGGCAACAAGCCCGAGTCTTCTCTCCAACCTGTGAGTGAAGGAACTCCTGTCACAGGGACCAGGACCTCCATCCTGCCATCTTCCTCTCAGACCGCAGCCTCCTCCCCTGCTCCCTCCACCCCGGGGACAGGGCAGACCCCAGTGGGTAGCCAGGCCCTGCGGGACCTGATGGAGCTGGCTGAAGACGGCATGACCCTCACACAGTGCGGATACACTACCTCAGGCCCCGACAAAAGTAAGACAGACACACACATTACACAAACTGTTTACTTAAATATCTGTTTACCTTTTAGGAATTGCCTATATCCAAATTAACGGTATAGTGCCTATGGAAAAAAAGCGTTTAATTTTTCTCGTGTTTTATGATTTTAAAATAGAAGAAATCTTTCAGTGACAAATTGGAAACAAATCTGTACAAATTAATCATAACGGTGAATCAATTTCCTAAATACTTGATTGACAGAGGAAACCATTTTTACCGGTTTAACCTGTCATTGTAACTTCTGGTTGTCTTATTATAAAATATGTGTGTTTTTGTTATGGCTGTAAACCTGTAAGTATGCATGAAGCGCTTCCCTTGTAGCCTCCACTTAGCATAATCAGTCGGTTTCAAATAATCTTGTGCACGTTCGATTCCACTGAAAAATCTGTTTCTTAAAAATTCACTATTTATTTTGTATATACTGTACATGTAGTATTCAGTATTGTTTATATTTTACCCCCTCTAAATAGTGAATTTATGAGTGCTTATTCTGACTATTAAAAAAATCATCGAACTAGATATAAGAGATATTACAGTGAGCTGTAATGTTCAGGAAACAAAAAATGGACGTGTCAAGTAATAAAATCTTCTGTTTTAACTAATCAGCTTTTGTTAAAAAAGATTGGTGTTTTTTTTAGGTAAATGGGTAAAAACTGAAGACATTGATTACACACTTCCTCCTTTAAAAAGATACATTTCATAAATTTAATTTTTTAAATTCACACATACTTATACACTCTTGTAGCCTGCGGAAGCAACTTGCCAACTTACATTGTTTAAAAACTTACCTGGTCATAAGTTCTGGTCCTGGGTGTCTCTGTTCCTACAGACAAGCCGAGCAGTGCCAATCTGTCCACAAACCTTCACCTCAGTGGCTTCGTCCTGGAGGAGGCAGAGGAGCAGGCTGACCTGTGTGTGAGCGGCTTCCTACCAGAAAGAGCACACACACTCTCAGGGGACACCCACAACCAAAAGAAGAGGAGAGCTGATCAGCCAAGAGCAGATGAAGAGCGAGGCAGCCACCGATCGGTAAGAACATAAGTGATCCTCATCTTTTCTTTTAGAGTTCAGTCCAGATTTACTCACTTATAGTATCATTTAAAAGTTTTCCATATATGTAGAAAGTCAGCATTTGATTTTAATTAAAAACATTGAAGTGTTTCTTGTCTGATGCACCTGCTGTTTGCTGACATCATTATATTCCGCAGCGAACTCACCCCAGTGTTTCCTGCTGGTGTTTTCCTCTGCAGGTAGCACTATCCAGACTGGCCTCAGACCTGAGCAGCATGGTGAACAACCCTCAGCTCAGTGACTTGCAGCTCCAGGTGGACAGTGGAGAGGTTTACTTTGCCCATTCCTTCATGGTGTACGCTCGCTGCCCTCTGCTGGCAGAAATGGTAAACATTATCGCAGTGTGTGGCGCAAACCTGAGCACAGCCCTGCTACAGTGAGACAAGGGATATATAATTATGTAGAAATCTACTGTTGTTCAATTTTCATAGTTTGCTTTTAAATAACAAATGTAGTATAATTGAGAAGAGGAATTATTAAAGGAACAGAAAGACTAAAATCTGAAATCTATATATTTCATACATGTTTAGCTGAAACAACATGAGCGGTGATGTGTGGGCCTGAGGTCGTCTAATACAGTTATAGACGACATTGTATTGAATGGAGTGTGCAATGTGTTTTTTTTACTTACTTATGAGGTACATTGAAGACAAATTGCGACTGTCAATCTGAAAATTCAGGAAAACAAAATGCTACATTGAGAATTTCTTACCCAGAAATTCCATTAGTATTTTCACTCTCTTTGCTTTTGATCTCATCATTGTCTCTGCCTCCCATCCTCCGCTCCTCTCACAGGTACATGAAAGTGGTTTTGGGGTGCAGGAGGAAGGCATTTCTGCAGCCCAGAGGGTGCTGATGAGTGACGTCCCGGGACAGGCAGTGTTCACTCTGCTGCAGTACCTCTACACGGCCCACTGCTCCATCCCAGCCTCACTGCGGCCTCATGTACTGGAGCTAGCATCCAGGTTAGTACAGAGCTCAAAGCCTACATATTTATACATATCTTTATAAAGAGCCATTTAAATCAAACCATGCACTTTGATCAATGTGCAGTGTCTTGGTGATCCTCCTTACTTTTCCCTGCTTTTGTTATTGTGTATTCAATTGTATGTTTAACAACATATGGGCTGCCTAATGTTAATGCTTTTTTCGTTTATGTCCATAATCACAAGGAAAAAAGCCCTATTTTTTATTTGACTCAAGAGTTTTTGCGTGACACTTTTTACAGATGAAAATTACAAGAAAATACAAGAAATTCCTTATTTCATTTTTACGACTCCTCTCTTCTCTTTTTGCGCTTCAAGGTTTGACTTGCAGGAGCTGCAGGAGCTTTGTGAGCTCCAGCGAGAGGAGGCGGACTACACGAACCAGGACGAGAATGTCAACAACCAAACAGACCAGGCCTTCATGGAGCTCCTCCGCTCCATGTGGAATGAAGAGGATGAGGAAGACGAGGGGACGGATACTGATGGGGGAAAGGATGAAGAAAGAGGGTTGGAAGAAGATCCTCAAATCAGCGATGTTACATCTGGCGAGACAGAGAGTTGTGAGGAACAAGTGAATGAGGAAGAGCTGGAGGAGATCTACGAGTTTGCCGCCACACAGAGAAAGAGGGAGGAGGAGAAAGACAGTGTGGAGGAGGAAGAGGAGGAGGAAAAGGTAGATGATGGAGAAGTGTTCACAAAACTGACAGAACCGAAAACAGGCTTCAGTGAGAAAAACCTGAAGCTGAACTCTCAACCGGAGCCAGGACCCAGCCTGGATCGCAGCTACAGCCGCCTCTTTTCAGACTCTTGGGGAGTCTACGAGGAAGAGGATCCCTCCTCCTCCTCACGCTCAACTTCTGGTCCACCAAAGCCACACACCTCTCAATCCCTGAAACACCAGTCCCCTCATAAACCTTCATGCGAACTGCCCGGCAGAACTTTGCTTCTGTCCTCACCAAGCGTAGTCGACGACCTTTCCCCCAGCCCCCCACCCAGTACATCCAATCTGCCCATCGCAGGTCTGTCCCCTGGTCAAGTGGGTGACTGCGGTGGGGGTGGAGACAGGGGAACAGATGCTGTTAAACTGGACATGGCTAAAGAGTGTCTGTCTTTGAAGCAAGAAAGCCATGGTCCTCATAGTATTTGTGTTCCTGTTTCTCCCGATTCACCCCTGAAAAAGAAGGAACCTGAGCTCATCGTTTTGTCTGACTCAAGCGAGGAGATGGAGGTAGATGTTGCTGTTCTTAGTTCCCGCAGTCCTTCACCACATTCTTCTTGCGCCGTCCAGACCTTGCAGCGCTACACCCACATCAAACCTCAGTCAATCCCAAAACCTACTCAATCCACCATGGAAAATAAAGTGTCCAGTAGTGTAGACTTTAGTCCAGTAGACTGTTCTCTAGAAGTTTCCTGGCTGATCCCATCCACACCAGTGCAGCCTGTAAGATGCACCAGGACCAGCTCCACCCAGACCAAAAGCAGCATCTGCAGGACGCAGCTGTTCCCTAAAGAGGATATTATCTCCTCCTCTTCTCCCGCTTTACCGTTGCACAACAGACTTCAGACCTCGATCAGTGCAACCAGAGTCTCTGCCCACATTAGTCCAACAGAGGGCAGTGTTCCCAGGTTGAAACCGGACGAAGAAGTTCCCTGTAGCTCCAGTTTGGATCTCAATTTTTCCCCTGAAAGAACCAGTACTTATGATGCGAGTAAGAACAGAGAAGGGTTTGCAGTTCCCCCACACCAACCTAAGCTTTCGCACCTCTCAAGCTCAACTCACCATCACCCCCTCCAAGCTTCCTTAAAGCAGGATACACCCCTCCACGACCAGCCGCAGCCCTACAGCAGCACTCCCCTGCATACAGAGCTCCACCAGCCCCTTGTCCATCTTGCTGCTTCCCCACTTCTCCACAACCATGACGAGCAGAGGTTGACCAGTCAAGGAAGGGACAAGGCTCCATCGGAAAGCCCAGAGATGACAGAGTTAGTGAGCTTTCATCTCTCCCCTTCGTCCGACCCTTCGGATCCGTCTTCATCTTCGTCTCACAGAGGTCCTCAAAGCTCACGGAGACACAGCAAGTCGTCGAGTGAAAGTCAACGTTCTGATGAGTGCAGCAGTCGTAAGAACACAGGGGCTGAGCTCAAGAGGAGGGGAATAAGAAATGAGGAAGGAGAAAGAGAGACAGAGTGTGAAAACAAAGACACACGTGACGAAGGAGAGCAGGAAGAAGCAAAAGAAGCAAGTGTAGAGGCAGAGCCCAGTTTCCAGCAGAGCTTCATGGACGAGCCTCCCATAGCTTTTAGCGACTCGTGGGACGCCTGCATCGAGGCCAACCCAGGCTGCTTCAGTCTGAGGCTGGAGGAGAGCGGAGGATCCAACCAGCACGAGCGCAGCCAAGAACGAAGTGAAACGTCCAGGTCATCATTCTCTGCTGATCATCAACCTCCACCGTCTAGTCACTGTCTCCAGACATCGCACAGTCGTGGCAGTGCGATGAACTCTTCTCCGACCAAAGCCCAACCATCCACCAGCGTACAGGCTCATACAAGGCCTTCCTTCACCCTGCCAGCACCAGGCCCCAACAGCAGCCTCCTGGACTCTAAAATATGGGACAGCTGGGAGGAGGAAGAGGAGGATGCTCTTCCTCTCTCTCAGAGGGTGAACCCTTCAGCTCAGCTCAAAACACCAGGTATGAAAGAACATAATCTGAGGTTTTATAAAATGACATACTTACCCAAAAGTGATGTTTTTTATTTTAGTTCAAAGCATGCAGACGTGCTGTCTTCACAAAAGAATGACTGTGATCTCCATATCCTCCAGTACTAATGTTACTGTTTTAATAGAGTCACATTTCCTCTGTTCATATGCAGATGTTTGCGGAAAGTTGCTCCCAAATCTCAAATGTTTACAGAAGTCATCGTCATACTTCTAGTATAGTATACTTCCATATAGTTCCTGTATTCACAAGACTGTGTCTGTGAAGCTAAGAGGTACACAGATGCCATAATGCAACACACAATGTACCTCTGCAGTGGGATGTGGATAACTTAGTGCAAGGCTACACTTGTCAAAACAAGTTGGTCATCTGCCTTGAAAACAAAGCATGACTGCATCTGGACAGAGGAAAACAAAAAATAAATTCCAAAGCAATATAAATAAAAACAAATGCAGGAAGTGCAGCAACCTCAAACAGTCTGCACAACAATTACAGCTTATTTGTGATTTAACTAACAGGGTTTAACTCTAACCCTGTGGGTAGTTAAATTCCATAGATGAAATTTCAGTAAAGAAATCAAAGGCTGTAGTCTGACAGAAAAGTTCTCTCTGTTCTGTCTCTTCAGCATCTTCCCACAATAAAAAACGCTGCACTCCGGTGCCGATCACTCCCATGCCCCACTACTCAGACATGGACACACCGGAGCTCAAGAACAAACTCAACAGGTCAGTCAGTTCACTCTCATCTCCACCCTCATTTTAAAGAGAGGTTACAGAAGGGACACTTTTTTTTCTAATCAAAGCTATTAACTGAGGAGCCTCTCCGATTACCTCCCCTGGTGTCACTGTCAACTAAGCTTGTCTGGTTCTCCTCTCCATGTCAGGTTCTTTTCCTTCAGTCCATCTGTTCGTTCGCCTGTCTGTCACAAATGTGACTTACTTTCTCCTCTGTGCAGGTTTGGTGTTCGGCCTTTACCCAAGCGCCAGATGATCCTCAAACTGAAGGAGATCCACCAGTTCACCCACCAGCTGGTCAGCAGCTCAGACTCTGAGGAAGAGGCACCCTCTGCAGGGCGCACTGCTCAGACAAAGCCCCCTACCACCAGTTCAGCAGCAGCTGGCAGTGGGCCAGTCTCCTGTGCCCAGACAGTGAAGTTTAAAGAGCCCAGAGCACCGGCTGCCATCTCCCCTCTGAAACACAAGGGAGAGGAGGAGGAGGAGGATGGAGAGCTGCTGTCTGCCTCACAGGGCTCCAACACCTCTTCAACTGCCGCCAGTGAAGAATCTGAAAGGTACCGTGAGTCGTCTCTGACGTACTCTGCACGCTTGAGTTGCTACACATATTTTCAGACAGCTCAATAAATATTCTGTTCACTAAGACAACTTTTCATGCTCGAGACTCACAATGACACCATGAGACATTATCATTAGAAATCCTGTCACTCAATTGCACAGGGTTTTACCACTGTGATTCATAACTAAATATGGTTCAAAATATGACGTTTGAGTCGCTTTAAAACAGCAACAGATAATTTGATAATCAAAACATCATTTGTCACCTGTCAAGAAAAGATGCCTCACATTTGCTGGCAACAATTTCTTAAACTGAGTATTTTTGGATTAATTTTCAGTTTTAGATGATTATTACATGAATATGTCTATTATTTTGTGTTTTAAATCTTCTTAGCAGGCAACTGTTTATAGTCAACCCAATTTTTTAGGGCAGATTTAATAAAGGGAATACAATATTCATTTGACTAATTTTTAATTAGGGTCATAAGACAATCTATTGTCACTTAGTTGTGGTCTCTAACCACTTCCTTCTCTCTCATCAGGTCCAACCCAGAGCTGTGCCTCTCTTCCGATGGCGATTCAGACAGTGACGGCGGCATCTCTGCCTCCCAAGCTGCGAATCGCCTTCAGGATCGGCTCCAGGCGGTGCGCTCCTTCATCCTGTCGGACTCCGGGCTGTACAATCAGATCCTGCAGTACCAGCCTCTGGTCCTCTCCCAGCTCCAAGAGCGACTCAAGGCAGCCGGGATCCGCCTAGGTGCCGCCAAGCTGGTGGACTACCTGGACTCTCAGTGCATCACTTTCACCACAGCCAAGCCGGGCCACCCCGCACCCAGCCGCAGGCGGGGCAAGAGGACAGGCCGGGGGGCAAAGGCAGCTGGTGTAAGAGGAGCATACAGGAGAAAAGCTGTTACAGCTATGCTTTAAAACTTAACGATTGCCAGAAGTTGAAGGATTTACTTCAGTGTTCGGAACATTTGTCTGAAAACTTCAGGGAAGGAAAAGGCCGTGAGAAAATTAAATTATCAAGAGAAGATAAAGAAGATTGTGTGCTTGTTCCTGGAGAGTCGGCTTCAGCTTTTACCGCTTTAAACTATGAAACATTTTCTTCTTTCTAAAGTTTCTTCAGGACCTCAGTTTTTAATTTAGGTATTAAGTTTTAAATGTTGAACTCCCACTGTGAAAATAAAAAAAGGTTAATGTTGTTGTGCCCCATGATGACAAGTTGTTTCTTTCATTCAGAAATCATGACAGAGTAGCCACAAAATAGATTTTATCTTCATCTCCTGTAATGGTACAGAGATGAATTCTTACCATGTGGTGTCTTACCTCTGTTAATACCAGGTTAGGAATAAGTGCAAACCAGGATGAAATTAATTAATTCCAAAGAAATGATTGTACACAGGACATTTTTGAAAAACATTTTACTTTTTTTTTGCTCTTCAGTAGATTTATATCCAAAGATCAGCCAAGACTTACATACAGCTGAGCACACGTGAGAAAGGAGGCGGGTTCTTCAACAAGAAAAATCTCACAACTTCTATTCGATACGTCATTCAAGTAGAGAGAGACGGGTCCTTTGCAGCAGCACAACATCAAGTCAGCGCTGTGTTCACAGTCAGGTCAGTGTTGTTGCATCAGGGGCAGTTTTGTGTTGTGCACCCAGTTTTCTCTACAGCAGCGTGAAGCACAGGGTGTCAGATCAGATTCCAAATTACACACGACCCTTTCGCACCGCAGATCCTGGAGACGGACTCTGCTTCTCTCCACTCCCGTGATGCCTTCACCGATGGAGCATCAACGCAGTGCTTCCTGTCCCGGCTCAAAGCTTCAACCAGTCATGACAGGTTGGCAATGTTGGCAAGGAAGCGCTGAGCCCACCACTCCTCCAGGTCTATGGGCACAAAGTCTGCACAGAAAGAAAAACAACACAGGGGACAAAGAATTAAAGAATAATCCATGGTCTACGATTGATTCATTTTGTTCATCAATTATTAATTTTGTTACCAAATCAGATTCACACAAGGAGTGATGATCTGTGCAGATGTAAAAACCAAAAACCTGAAGGGCTGACAAAATGTCAACTGTAGAAGTGCATTCCTACACTCACTGATTTAGGTGAAGTAAATTTTATGACGGTCTTTATTTGGCGTTGCATCTTATCTTGTTTAAAACTAGAATTACTGCCTCGGTGTGGTATGCTTCTGCCGACCAGTCAAGTTGTTTTTGCAGAACATTATGATGTCACATTGAAGTTGACCTTTGACCATTTGGATATAAAATGTAATCACTTCATTTTCTTCTCATAATTAGTGTATTATGGCCAAAAATGTATTTTGTGAGGTCACAATGTGCCAGAAGTAATGAAATCTCGCTGGGCGTTCCTGATATATTGCATTCACAAGAACATGAGATCACTATCGCCTTGAACTTTGACCACCAAAATCTAATCATTTAGCCCTCGAGTCTAAGTGGACATGTGTGCCAAATTTGAAGAAATCCCTCAAGGCATTACTGAGATATCGCATCCACGAGAATGGGATGGACGGACACACAGACATACGGACATTAAACCTGAAAACAATATGCCTCCGGCCCTGGCTGTTGCCGGTGTGGCGGCATGAAAATGCAGATTAAACATTTTCTCTCCATGTAAATGTTAGAATTTTAAAATCTGTGCTACAAAGTTAAAAATCCATCTAGAGGGAAACCAAAGATTAGGGGATATCCAGGCAGCCTAAATGTCCAAAAGCTGCTTCAGTTCACACAGTAACATGTAACACACACAGTGCATTCACAAAGTATTTAGACCCCTTCACTTTTTTCATGTTATGTTGCAGCCTTGTGTTCAAATCAAAAAAAAAAAAATTCCCTTATCAGTCTACACTCATTGCTCCATAATTACAAAGTAAAAACAGAATTTCAGATTTTTTTTGCTAATTTATTTTAAAGGGGAAACTGAAATATGACATTGACGTAAATATTCAGACCCTTTGCTGTGACACAGCTGCATTGAAGCTGCCTTGATCAGAGAGGTGACCAGGAACGTGATGGTCACTCTGACTGAGCTCCAGAGATCCTGTGTGGAGATGGACAAGCTTCTAACCTTATGTTAATGGGGCATTTCAGTTTTTCCTTTTTAATACATTTGCAAGAATTATGAGCTAAATGCTAATGTCAGCATGCTAACATGTTGATGTTTAGTGTGTACAATGTTTACCAAGTTCACCATTTCAGATAAGTATGTTAGCATGCTAACATGTAACACTAAACAAACCCGATGTCATCAGGTATTTAGTCATAAACCTAAGAATTGGACAAAATCAAATTTCACTTTGATGGCGCTAGAGAAGTCGAGGAATCACCAAAGTTTTTGCCTATAATCCTGAGGGGGACATGAATGTCTGAACCACATTTCATGACGATCCATCCAGTAGTTTTTGAGACATTTCACTCAAACCCACAACTTTTAGCATCATGGTGGCACTAGAGGAAAAGTCAGGCAATCAGCGGTGTCATTAGGATTTGTCCTCTTGGGACCATGAATGTCTACACAAAAGTTTATGGCAATCCATCCAATAGTTGTTGAGATATTTCAGTCCAAGCCAACGGGGTGGACCAACTGACACTGCTAGTTCTGGAGATTAAAAAAAACACAATCCAAGGCATTGTTGAAAATGAAGGCTCACTTGATCTGAAATACACTAGATTATAGGTATTTCGTAACTCAGATTTTAACTAATGTTCATAAGATCCTGAAGCCCCATATCCTCTAATAAAATAAAATAAGGTATAGAAGAGAGCAGCTGTGAAATGGCCACAGAAGAGACACGGGAGCAGACAGGTGTGTGAACCGAGGTGAAACGCGCTACAATCAGCAGTCAGGGCTGGTTTATCTGGAACTAGCCGGGTTGTCACAGACCAATGAAGAGTTAAAAATTAAAGAAAACTATTACAACAGTTGCCCCCTGGTTACAGATAAAAGCTCAAGAAACCACTCGCCGTTTGATTCATGCAGAGAGATGAGAGCAGCCATTCAGCTTTCCTGTGGTGTGTAATAACCAGGAAGATTACTAGTTCAAGGCTCATGAGGTTATGGAGCAGGAAGAGGGTTATCTGTTCAGGTGCTGTAAACTGCAAGCAGTGATTTATGATTTATGATTTAATGAAGGCGGTTTTACTTTGTTGTCGTATCCTTTGAAGTATTTTAGCAGGTTAGTGAATGGGAATTAGGTTGATAATCAAAATCACCCCTGTGTTAAAGTGTAGTGAGGAGTTGCAGGTACTTACTCTTCATCGCAGCACTGGGGGTCTTCTCAGTGTACTGAACGGGCCCCTGGCTGCCGGCTGACTCCCCGCCGTCCCCATCCCCCAGCTTCTGCTCCACCTCCTGCCACGCTGCACACGGGCAACAACACACAGTATATATATATTGAATTATCTTCAATGCATTTAAAGTCAACAGGAATTTGCCTTTTGTGTATAAAGTAAATTACTTGTGAATGACATCCTCACATTTTATATTTACTCCACTGCTTCATAGCAGCATCTGCAAAGACCACTTTATGGATAATATAAATACTAAGTTGCTTTGCAAGCACGAATGCCCTGCAGCACCCTGGTGAGAGGCCTGGACTGCTCTGTGGTGTGTGTTTATCAGCTGTGGGTAAAGGTTTTCCAGCACCCGAGATAAACCTCAAGGTTTCAGCTCACAAACCTTCAACCTTCAGTTTACTTACAGTTAGTACATCTTGTATAACTAATATAATGATGTCAAATATAACAAGAAGAAGAACAAATTCCGAAAAAACAGTTTTATGTGTGCAAGAGGGAGGGTAAAATGCTATCTAAATATGTCTGGCGAGGTGACCATGTGGGGGTGGGGCGGGCGTGGGGGGCGGGCTGGGTGGGGGGGGATCAGATCCATCAGGCTTTCTGTCTGAAAACGACTCGACAGGCTGTGACAGCGGTTTTTCTTTAGGTGTGAGCGGTGAGGAAAAGTGACACGCTCTCCACCGGCTGAACTTTACGGTCACAAAGGAACACCACAGAGCAGTCCTTACTGGCAACGGTCCAACAGTAACACAGCTAGCTGGTTCGTGCCGATTCAGCTCCACAAGTCATTCATTTCCACCAGGGCATGAAGTACTGGCCAGCACTAAGGCATGCTGGGTAAACATCAAGACCGAGTGAATAGTGCACAGTCACAGTTTTTAATTATTAGGTTTTACTGACTGTAAGCAGCACTCCAGTCTCTCTGTGAATGGTTTGTTGAATTCTTGCAGTAGTGCCACCTTAATCCTCATTTGTGCAGCTGTTGTTTGCTCATTATTGTGTTTGTTCGTTCAGCCTGGTTTGTAACAGCCACATATTAACCCTGAGCTAATATGTGGCTGCAGCTTTGAACATAAAACATGTTTACACTGAATGATAATGTGCACTGTGGTCTCCGAGTTACTGTAACACTTCACAGACTTCTGATTAGTGAGCAATGAATCAGTAAGAAACATCTGATGTTATCAATTGCTGATAAGCTGAAATACTGCTGCTGGAAATTTTAAATAGGGCTATGACACAGTTATTTTCATTATCAATTCTTCTCTCAAATATTTTCTCAATTGTTTTGTCTATAAAATATCAGAAGATAGTAAAAAATGCCCAATAAGTAAGCACTTATCCATATATCAATGAATCATTTCAGCTCTGATTTAAATGCACATTGTTTTTTCATTTTTAAAAAGGTTTCAATTTGTGAAATCACAGCAACCAATCAAATAAAACTATGAATTTAATTAGTCTTTACATCCCCAGCTACAGTGCAGCTGCTCAGCCTGGAAGAAATGTGATGTAAAGAAGAAGGGCAAAGACAGAGAAAGCAGGAGATCATCTTCCAACCACAGTGTCCCAGTTTTGATCTTCACAACCTCCGACCTTGTAACCTTGAGAGAATGATCTGCAGTCTCTCCTGTCTTCAGGATTTAGCCCTGGATGATTTGACCTACATCATCCTCTCACCTATTGATCCTGTGACGCTCACCTTCATACACAAATCTGACGTTCTCCTCATGTGCAGGAGTGAATCCCTCTGCTGGGCTGTCGGTTTTCTGAGTGGCTGCGTTGTGGTAGCGCTTCCCGTTGAGGCGGTTGAACACAATCTTTGGGGGTGGCGAGCTAAAGAGACAAGACTGGGTTAGTTACAGAATGTCAGCTTGGGGATTGCGGCAGCCTGCATCACAACATAACACAAAAGTAAGTTCTCAAAATGAAGGTAGAAATGATTCACGTTTGCATCTTTAACTTCAGACAAATTCATTGTCGGCTGACAGGCATGTAAATTTACTTTATGTTGGATTATTGTAACTGTATTGATGCTTTTAGCCTCAGGATAAGCTTTAAACCACAACTCAAGGTCTTCGTCAGCAAATGCAGTTTAGGAACTGGTTTGTATACAGTAAGATATTGCAGGGTTTTTGCTTTATTTCATTTGTGCTTATGTAACTGAATGGTACATTCTTGATCCCAGAATGCCTTTCAACAACTTCCTGGAAAATGGCAATATAATATACTGCAATGTCAAGACCACACGAGAAAAAGCAACACAAAACACAAATTCAACACATCTTGTTGCAATGCATTCTGGTCAATTGAGTCTTACTGTTGATGTGGTTGGTTTATAGTGAATTTCACCCTGTATAACATTTTAAATTCTGATGCACATAGTAAGTATAAAACGAAGTCCTAATGCACTGACATTGAAATCTGACTTTTACCTTTACTGTTTAAGTTGTAAAAAAGTTCATTATATTTTTTCTGCTGTCAAATTAAACTGAAGTTGCAGCGAGTGTGCACTCAATTGTTGCTGCTGAAACACTTGGAAAGGTACTGATTCAACTTTAAGGTCATTCTGGACATTGTAGTTTGTGGTGCTGTTAAATTATATTGTATTACGCTCAGAGAGTGACACCGACACCGAGAAGTGGCTAATAGTATGCCGCTAGTGGTGGAGCGGCTTATGCTGAGGCGTTTATAATATTTTGTCCACCCCATCTAAGTTAGTGGGGGGTGAATTACATTGAATAGGATTTAGCTGGGTGTAAACTGGCAATCGAATGCATCATAAGTGAGGATTGTATTTCCGAGCAGCACCTGAAGGAAGCACAATATTCCTGCTGCTCTGATAGCCAGAGCCAGACAGGTGCGGTCCCACACCGGCTTCGCAGCCCGGTTAACACCCGGTCACGGGTAGAAGGGGCGTGGATACACCGTGCAAGCTAACGCGGTGCAGCACGGTACCGTCAACCGGGCTGAGGAACCGCGAGACGCTGGAGGAAAAGTTGTGTCCGATAATGGACGCAGCGTCGTTACCTAAGTCACAACGAGGTGTTACATGATCGCACTCACGGCGCACGTGCAGAGTATTTTGGGCCCACGCTGCTCAAACAGCAATAAATAAATAAATAATACATCAACACATGACTGAGTGCAGCTACTTACTTTGACGCGAGCCAAGACGTCGGCTTGAGCTTCAAGTCGCTGAATTTGCTCTCGATCTGTTGTGTGGGACCTGAGAGACAAAATTCAGAGGTAAGTAGTTTTCATGTTCTGCGCAGTTTACCTCTAATCTCTGCACACACACATACACAGAGCCAGCTCAACTGATGCAATGACCCGAAACTTCCCCATCCATGACCCAAAAGCAGTCTGATGTTACATTGCATCATGCTTTGGATAACCGTCACTCACCTGTCCTCCGTTGTGTAACAAGTTTGCTGGGACCTCTGGTGATTGTGTACATCATGTGAACGCCAGTAACCCCAGGAAATCCTGTAGTGTCAGTGTTTAAAAACCGGCCTGTCTTGCTAATAATCAGGTGCACACATTGACTGTCAACTCTGCAACTTCCAGTCCTCTGTCCGCTCCTCCTGACGCAGCCACGATAGGAAAAATTTTCGCAACGTGTCTTATTTTGTTCGCCAGGTCAGGTGCTCCAGGGTCGGCCTGAAGCCTGCAGGAGACTCGCTTTGACTTGTTGCCCGCTGTATATTAATACGCACCCCGCCGCTCCTGCTGACCAGCAGGTGTTCAGCTGTAACGACGCGACGTCCGCTGCTCCTGAGAGAGGTGGCGTGTAGGTCATCCAAGGAGAAAGCGGCTTCACATGCCGGGGATCAGTCATTCACCGTGGGGAGGGAGGGCACTGTGGTTCCTGACGTCCGAGGACAGTGACACTCTAGGCCGGACACTCTGCCCGCTACGCTACGCTGATGGTCCGGGACTGCTTGCTACACCTCGGCTCTCTGACACGATACAAGGACACTGCACACATTGATATTTTCATCAGTATGTAACGATACCATGCTTGGCCAGCGTCAAGCCACCAAGAATGAAGAATACGACGTCCGGTCCAGATTTTCAAAATAAAAACTTGCCCTATCTGATGCCCTCGTAGCATTTGTAATCTAACATCTCATGTACAAAAGACACTATGCACCACGTAAAACATGAATGGTTCATTTAGTAAACCCATTATTTATAAGATTTCTGATTCTTAGTTGGTATATATTGTGGCATTACATCATATGGTTTCTGATGAAACCAAAACACAATACAATTCATTAATCTGCTATTTGACATCTTGTGGATACAAACAGACTACAGTGTACATGAACTGAGAAAGTTGGTATTTTCTTTAAAGCTTATAAGGAGTAGGAGTGTGTATGGTGCTATATGTTATGGTTGTTACTATTCAGTGTGAATACCTAGCATTGTTTTATGTGTCTGCAGTGGATGTTTTGGGTGTCATAGTTGATATTTTAATGAATTAAGTTTTTTTTTTTAATAAATATTTTTACATCTAGTACACAAAATGAAATTCGATTCCAGTCTACTGGCAATGCAACAGGAATCTCAGGCACAGATATGTCAAAGCCTGAGAGAAACCTCTAAACTATATGGATATCAACAGAAGCAGGTAAGAAGGCATGTTTTCTGTGGTGCTGATCAAGTGACCTCTATAAGGTATGTGACTACGAAACTGCCTGTAATTTACCTGTCTACGTGGTCAAGTCATCATTTGACCATTAACCACTCCATTTGTAATTTATGGTTACACAGTTGCACCGTATTTCTGTAACTTAGTGTTTCCTCAGCGTGTACGGCTTTTACTTTGAAGTTAGTCTCTTCATTTCCGCTCTCGTTGTTTCTGTTTGTCTCTGGTCGCACTACAGCTGGGCAACCCCCATCAGTGACGTAACAGAACGCCCCTCAGACCGGGTTTTGGAGGAGGAGCTGGAGCGACCACCTTTCACCTATAAAATCAAATGCGCAGATAGATCCCCGAGTTATCAGTCATGAAGAAAATAAAAATAAAATTGATTTTTTTTCTGCAGACTTTATTATACCCTACTTATTATTTAGTAATAACTAATAAAGTCTGACAATAAATCGTATTTCTTTGGACTGACAGCATGATTGATGACAACTTAATCGTTTTTTTTTTTTTTATCTCTAATTGGAAATCATCCACTTCATACTATATGAGGACTTGTTATTTTGCTGGGTACCTTTTGTAGCATCCCTGTAAGATCTTTTGATATATGACAGTGTTACCACAGGTAACCTGGGACATTCAGATGAAATTCACCTGTGTGAGCTGACAGTCTGCCTTTAGCAATTGAAGATCAGCCAGGACAAGAAGTGGCTCAGACTGGCTTATCCAGGGTGATATCCAACACCACACCCCCCTTTCATCTGTACTATCTGGGTCAGTCACCTGAGTCTCCAGGCCAAGAAGCTAATCATCAACAGTCCACACTACACAGGCTTGGTTCTAACAGCAGAGAGGCTTAACTATGGTCTAATAGCTGGTTTGTGCTGAAGATTTTAAATTGCCCACTACTGAACTTCTTAGAGACAGAGATCTGTTTAGACCAGTGTCGACAGAAGTTCAGTATGAAACAAGGTAGTTTATAGTTTATTTTCCCATCAGCTAACAGCTTGTCCCTTCAAAATACTTTGTTTAAAAATGTATTTACAAAAACTGCATAAAACACTCATTGAATAAATGATTTACATATATTTATTAATTCATGAATGAATAATAGAAGTTGAACAACTATTTGAAAAGGCATTTTAAAAATGGAATACATTCCTGGATTTCCTCTTCAATTTCCATTTTCTTTTGCCAGCTGGGTTTCCTTTTCCTATTAGCTAATCAATTAGCTTAGTCATTTAGCTTCTTTTAGCCTGTGTGTGACACTCTGAGCTTTCAGTGCTGGTAAAACCAGGTTAATTGGCCATGGAATGTAACAAGCTCTCTGATTGGTTGGAGAGCTAACCAGTCGGGTTTTTGTAAATCCATTTTTAAATCTGAAGCATTTATTGATGGATTAATAGTTCATGAATAAATCATTGAAAAGGGAATCCAGTTATTTATTTCAATTTAAAAAATGCCTTTTCAAATATATGATAATAATTTAATAAGTTTTACAATTCATATTTTTAATGCCTTTTAAAATATGAAATTAAAGCAATGCCTTATTACTTTTCCTGTGATATCCCTGGTCCTCCATAGGAATTGTAGGTTTCAAAAGTATTTTTCTGGACTTGCTGAGATGGTATGTTAATGAGTACTCCTAACACCATTAGTTTTAGTGTTGATCTATCGAGTCTTCTCTGTTTTGCGTAGTGCCTTGCTATGAGCTGAACTTTAGGAACCCATTTGGTGCAAGAAAACATCCAATAACGAATACCGATTTCACTTTAAATGGAGACATCCAGCATTTTATTAAATTCAATCAATCATTCATCACAACTTTCAATCATACGAAATCAAATTTTCATAATTTATTTCTTTTAATTTTCAAAAGCGAAATAAATCTTTCACTTTTCATTATCCTTGAAAATTACAAGACTCATTTTTAATGATTTTAAAATTGTCATGTCCGCTTAGATTAATTTCAGCACAAATCAAAAGCAGCTGAGGTTGATATTTGGGTCAAAGAATATATATAAGTAGTTTAGCCTTCTAATTGACTTATTTCAGAGCACCATCACCTAATAAGGAATTTAGCTTGTTGAACACAGGTGTAATTAATAACATTAATTAGAGCTGATGGTCCCTGATGTTGCAGATGCTGTCTCACTGACACAGCTTACTTGTATACCTAAATGCAACAGAGCCGTCGTTAGCTTTTTTAATTACACCTGTGCTTTTTCTGCTATGAAACATATCTGCCATGAGAAAGGTCTATTTTCTGTCTATTTACATGTGTTGTGTACTACACCACTGTACTGTATGTGAGGTGCTGCTGCCGAATATATCATTAGTCAGTCTATTACATCCACTCCCAGCAGTCAGCGTCTCACACATTTCTTCATCTATAAAGCCTCATATAATCTCTGTACATTCACTCCTTAATCCCTTATTCCAACCTATTTCATCGTGGAGCTGTACTGCACTGTCCTAGTGTTTTTCCACATTTAGTGCAATGTTACTAAATTGTACTCAAGAGTAATTCTAATTCATTATCTTGTGGCTCAACAGGAGAATTTGAGAATAGTTGCAGAATGATTATTTGTTATTAGAGTACTGGACTTACTGGTATCTGCTCTACAGACACAGTGGAGTCACCTACCAAAGAGCAAATTACTTTTCTCAAACCTAATTACTTAATAATTTAGAAATAATGTAAATACTAAACTGTGTAGTTATGATATTGTACAGTGTGTGTATGCACTCTGAACCCGCCACACACTGGACTGTGCAGCCATCAAAAATGTGAAAACAAGAAGCTGCTTTTTCAGAGAGAACTCTACAACAGTAAATTGGTGCCACACAGAAGAATGACACAAACTGAAAAACCTAATATTTGTATACCATTCTTAATCTATTCTACATCTTAGCTCCATAGGTGCATTTCTCAAATGTATTACTTATAAACTTATATTCATTTTTCATACACTCCCAAAGTGGCCTCAGACTTTTTGACCCTACTGTAAATCATCTCTAGGTAGCTTACTTCAGACTAATGAGCTTTACTAAGTAAAAAGCACAGGCAGCGCATGACATGGTGTTCATGTATGTACAGAGACAGTAAAACAGACTTAATTACCAAGACAAAAAAAATCATTGTAGTCCTGAGTTGGTGAATACAGTACATTTGATTAAGGTCTATTATAGACACGCATTACCAAAATGTAAAATGTTTATATTAAAATGTCTATAAATGCAGTTGTCTCAACAAGTCTGAGAGAATTCATCATAATATTAAAATGAATCAATCAGAATAAACCTGTTACATGGCTTCTTGTTAGTAAGTATGGTGCCCAGTCTGATCAGTTTGATCGGAAATATGCATGGAAACAAAAGTGTGGCATACTGTATGTTCTCTTACCTTATGCCACATATGGGTGATGAGCAGTGAAATGTTCCTAGTATGTGTTTGAGCATATTCTGCTGGGTTCATGTGAGTGTCAGTAATGAGGTTCACAGTCTTCCACCAGGCTGTCTGTGATGTAGTTGACTTGTAGCACCTCCTGGTAATACTCTTTCTCCACTTTTGTGTTGACTGTCCAGGCAACCACCTCCACCCCTCTCTGGGCCCAGTACTGCACATAGTCCCTGTAGACGGCACACAGCACAAAGGAACACACAGTTATTCTCTGCTGTGAACAACATTATTTGATTTTAAATATGATTTGATTTTAAATTGACTATATCACTGTTACACAGGTTGTTAATCTTTCTTCTAACAATAAGTCAAGTAATCAAGCTCAAATTATCAACCTCAGATGACTGAGTTCAATGAGCCATATTAAGAACATTTTAGCTTGTCCTGTAATATTGAAAAAAGCATAAAAACCCATAATGTAATAAAACACCTTCCCAACAATTATAGCCTTGTGAGTCTAATTAAGTAATTTTAATGTCTCTATCCCATGTATCTTGAATTAAGATTCAGTTAGGATGACAGTATATGACTGTATGTTCACAGCTGCAGAAACTCACGGTGAGACAAAGTTCTTTTGTATCAAGAAGGCTGAGATGCCACAGAGTTTCCACAGCACATGATGTTGCGCCAAGTCCAGCGTGATGTCCATTAGTGTCATCCAATGGTGCTTCCATAGTGATGAGAAACGCGGGGCACCATCTCCGAATCGACTCAGGCTCCATGGCCTGTGGGTCAATGCTGTGACCACCTCTGGGTCACTCTGTCTCATCTGGGCCAGGGAACAGAAACAAAGTTTGGTTTATGCCTGTTAAACACAGTAGCTAACAATACATGGGAGGTATGTAGGTAAATATTTTAGTTTATTTAATCATAACAAGTATATTAACAATGAGAAAGGGCTAGGGATCTCACTGTCCCGCTCCATCTGAAAATAAACATGTATGCGTTGTTGTTTTAAACCAGACCGACTATGACAGACAGGTCCATTGTCAGTGTGTGTGTGAGAGAGAGAGGCGTCAAGGAGGCGTTGAGCAAGTAAATGCGCTGCAAGCAGCTCTACCATGAAATAAGGTACTATCCATTTGAAATAGTAAAATATTTTCAGTTCATTATGAAACTGCGACTCGACTAATTAGACGGTAGAGGACGTCAGTAGAGTAGGCGGTCCTTCAGTGGCCAGGATGCATTTGCGTTCACACTGCTAAAAGACTGGCCACATGTGGCCCAGACCACCTCCGGATGTGGTCTGAGTGATCGGATCTCAAATGCGTCCTCATTGCATCTTGGGTACGTTCGCACTTGTACTTAGAGCTGACCACTTGTGATCAGATCACCTGAGACAGATGTTAATGCCAGGTCTGAACAGGGCCTTAGAGAACATGATATTTAAGCTTATAGTGAAATTAATTGAGCCCTGCTACAATATTGTAGGCTAAATGGAAGGAGTTGTAACCAAAAAAATTGGCTATAGTGTGTACAAGCTGTCTAGACCAAAGTATCAAAATGTTCACACAGCCTCATTAACGGGATCCTCAGTACACAGTCGCTGGCAACTCTTCATTTAAATGGTTGTAATCTTCCCCTTTGGCTAACTTTATGGTTTTTCCTCAACTTTCTCAATCAAATATACTGTCAGTCAAATTCTTTCATCTCATATCCCTACACACTTTAGGGCATCCACTTACCCTGTAGATGACTTTAGGCTCAAAGGAGCAGACGATGCTGCTGTTGTAGAGGACTGGATGTTTCTTATACAGTTCTTTAAGAGCTGCGGCTGACTGAGAGGGGAGGAGAAACACATGGTTATTGTAGGTCAGTCAACTGTTTACAGTGTGTGTAACCACTTGGTGGTGACTAGCAGCTGTGTATGTGCAGACACACTGTGGTGGGCCCTGAACTCAAGAATGTCATTGCCTGAAACAACAACCACCACCGCAGCTCTGCATTCCTTACTCATCAAGAGGTTAAAAGTACACTGACGCAAGCTTTAACTCAGCTTTTTAATGTGCAGAATGAAATGGTGTGAACGCTGCAGTGACTGTCTATCTTGTGTGAACTGGCACACACAATAAAAGTCACATTTTCTCGTTTTTTTTTTTAAAGTAACTGACACACAAATCCACAAGAAATATCTCGTGATGATGCAATGTTACCATGCAACCAAAAAAGCAACACCACTTGCCTGTAGCAAAGTCCTCAATACGTGACCAGATCAAATTGCGTGTGTGTATTTTGGAGGTTTGGTTTGTTCCCAAGTACGGTACAAATTGGAACAAGTGTTTGCGGCACCTTATGGTACATCTCTGTGTTTGCCAAAGTAATTGTGAGCCACTGGTAATGATGAGGCACGCAACAAATGACTGGTTGACACTTAAGTAATCTACCAGTTTATTAACTGGCCTGATCAGCTGCCAGCATTAATACCAGTGCTGGGTGTTATCTGTCCTTTCATTACTTTTTTCAGTAAAGCAGTAGTGTAATGAACTATGTTTTGATTTTCACAAGGATAACACAGGAAGAAAAAACTTGCGACCCTGAGTAATGAGTAAAGTGATTTTGAAGTACTTGATTAATCAATTAACTGACCAGTTGTTTCAGCACTACAACATTTAAACAACACTATCAAACCACTGCAGATATGTTATGGTCAGTTTGTACAAGGACACAGTAAATACCATCTTTGGACCATTATAATCACATCATCGTGCTGCCTTTGTTGTGCAATGTTGACTGGCTACAGATCAATTAAATCAACAAAGTATAAGACAGATTGCACATAATCGAGTCTCATTTTGCTTGTTGGTTTTGTGGGCTGCACCTCATCTGGATGACCTTTGACATCAAAGTAGATGGTGAGTTGCAGTTTGATGCATTCTTCCACTGCCTCCTCCAAGGTTGGGATCTTCTCTCCAGCAAATTTCTCCCTGACGACGAAGGACAAAATCGTTACAGTGCTACGTCTGAAGGTCTCGCATGCACATCAAAAATGCCTGTCAAACAAATTTACAGTTCAGCTGGGATATCTGCGTCTATCTCTTCTGTGATGAAATAATGAAATGCATGTGATAATGTTCATGAGTCTCTGTGTATAAAGGTTCTTAGGATCTGCCTGACACCATTTCGACAGGATTGGAGGCTTGGCAATATAACAACTACCAGGGCCGCTGTGTGATTATAATACAAATCAGACCTGTAAAACATCTCTGCAGACTTTAGGCTCCTGTGCCATTAAAACATTTTTTGTTTCTCTTATGCTCTATTAAACAGTCCAGTATTATGTAAGAGAGGAGCACTTATCCTAGTTTTTTTTAATATCATCCTCATATTCTCATCATCATAATATTATGTAATGCATGGGCACACAGCATATGACTTGAGGAACCTTGGTTTATTGTTGTAACAAAATCTCCAAGAGAGGAGACACTCTCACTTCAGAGACAAATTACAAACATTTCTCCTCTCATGACAATTGTTTGTGAATGCTGCACTTATCCTGTGTTATTTATATAATTACTTATCACATTGTCATGGAAATTTTGCTATCTGAATAGGATGGGTTTCATATCTCAAACAGATTCTACCTCCAGTAATTTGTCTAATGCACTCATTTTTAGAAAAATGTTTTGTAGTATCTTGTAATTGAGAAAATGAAATTGTTGGACTTTTTAATCTTCCTTTCCTAGATGGTTTTTGCATCTGTGTTTATTCCAGCTGCATCGTAACTTGTTATCTTTATTTTGAGGAACTGTTTTGCATTTTTCTTTTTTTCTTTTGTTTGTTCTGAAGAGAGCTGTTTTTAGAAACCTGCTGGGTCACTTGTCTCGCCTGTATTACCAACAGCATGCCTCTGTATTAGAAGCACATTCACTGTTAAATTTCAGTTCAAGGTTTTAGTGCCACTCCTGGGTTAATTATCGCAGTGTGTTTACTTATCCTTTTAATGTTTTCTTACAGATGTCTTGGAGCCTACCAGTATCTGTTATCACAATCAAACATCTCCACCTGTTAAAATGATCATTTCAGTGTCCTTAAATTGCTGTAGCTGAACAAAACATTCTGTACCAGGGAGTTCTACTGCAGAAAGTACATTTGAAAGAGAAAACCAGTCTAGCTTTGACGAGATAGTGTTCTGACTTGCTGATAAAGGCAGCCTACATCAGCAAGCGTCAACCAAAAATCTGCCACAGGGCACTAAAATATAATGTAGAAAAAAATATTCAAAACTTTAAATCACTATCCTTCCCAAAGGACACACACAACTTGTCTAACCTGCTGCCACCCCTCCAAAGTTTTGACAAATTTGGTATGCTAGAGACATTAAACTGCTTTCCGACTATCTCTTCTTCTTATCTTTTTTCCCCCAAATTTCCAGTCAACTTGCATTTCTCTCTTCACCACCACTGGCTTTATAACCAAGGACCGATACAGACTACATACAGCGTCTTATGTGATAGACCCGTCTATGTCTATGACTCAGCCATTCCTCCAAACAGACATTTTACTTTATACATAGTTGGGTCACTCTGTCTTAAGGAGGAGCTAGACTGTACATTTGTCTCCATGATTGTATGTGGATCCCTGGATATATAGTTTACCTGAGTCGATGTTTAGCAGCTGCGTCCAGTTTACCCAAGTCAGAAAATCTCATCTGGCTGATTGGTCCTGACCCGTTGGTGGTCCGGTCCACAGTCTCATCGTGCATCAGTAATGGGACGCCATCTGCTGAGAACTCCAGGTCCAACTCCACACCAGTTGCCCCATTTTTACTGGCCTAGTGCAGAACAAGAGAGTTGAAAGCTTCATATTTCAGGAGGGTTTGTTTCTGATTTTCACCTGGAAAAAAAAAAATTGAAGATCAGCCCAAACCCTATAGTTCTGATGTCATACTGCAAAAATGATCACCTTTTCTTGTAAACATACTGATTTTCAACATTGTTGTTTAAACTGCAATGTGAAAACTGGTTTAGAAAACTACTTTAAGATGAAAACAAAGAGAGAATGGTGATATCACATTAAAAGGGAAATAGGGTTTAAGTAAGAGTCTATTAAAGCTTCCCCAATAAATTGCCTGGGCTAATATTGACCAATATAATCTTACTGCAGATATAGAGAAGTGTGTAACATGAAATAGCAGTACAGAAACAGCATCTCTCTAAATGTCAAAAATATGTTATTAGGACTTTTGTTAACTCTCAAATATCAATACTGATACTGAGCTAAAAAATAAAAATCCAGTATCAGTCAGGCCATAGAGGCTGTGTGATGATTTTTGCTATACTATACACCACTGCCCTCCTGTGAACACTACAGTTCACTGAATGACAGTGTGGGTATGTGTGCAGCACTAGTGCAGAGATAGTGCTGAATGTTAATTGCCTTTGGTTAAAAGGGACATGATGTCCTGATGGAAGAGACAAACCTGGTCCCTGATATTTTCTGCCCCTCTTTTTTAGTATACATCTCTACATACATCCCGGCCAGTTTACAAAGAGATAAATATGGCAACGTTTTTTCAGTTTTGTCTCGGATTAAGATATAACATATTCCAGTCTCCAGTGGTGGTGTGTCCCTTGCAACCACTACTAACAAGGAAGGAGAAAGCCCCCAGATCTCGCCATCCCCTCCTCTCACCTCCCTGATAGCTGCTATTGTGTTCTCCGGTGCGTCGTGCCCACCGCCCCGATGAGCGACCACCGACACCTTGCCGGAGCCAGCCGCGCCGTTGGCTGGGTGCAGCACCTGCTGGGCTCGGCTGACAGGTACTTGAGGGAACCGGAACATGGCCAGAAAGAGGTAGAGGGAGGCGGTGAGGACGGTTGTCCACACCGGGCTCCGGGTGCCCAGAAGGACCACCACGAAGACGACCGAGTACAGGGTGACTTCGTCTCCCAGCTGCAGCATCGTTGTCCTCTGCTGTCTTTCTGAATGGACTGTGTCCAAACACAGAAAGTGGCAGCTGGAAGCAAATCCACCGCCGCTCCCGGGAGCCTGTCTGTTTATCGTTAGCTGACGTTAGCGTTAGCTAGCCGTCCGTATAAGTTTACTGTCTTCAAATGCCCTGTCTGAGAAAAGGTCATGCTCTACTTACCAAAGAGACAACATTGGCTGTTGACAAGGAGCAATTAAACACTTATCTTGGGCCGAGGAGAGGAGCTTCAGCTAGTCTGACACTCAACTCAACTCAAGACAGGTGCGTTCAGGGCGCACTCTGGGCGGAAATGACAGCTCTCTCGTGTCGTTTCTGAAACTAGCAAAACTTAAATACTGTTTAATTTTTTTAAGGGTTTAAATTCAGTAGATGTCTCAGCTAAATGTATCTCATGCATATATCTAAGGTTACAATTATCCCACAAGGGGGCACACGAGAAAAAAAAACATAAAATAACAGTTAACACTGCAGAGCACTTCCGGGTCAACGGATACTTCATGTTAGCTAACAGTTGACTTAAAGTGTTGTCTTTGGTCTGTCTCTTATATAAAAAAGGGTTCGCTTCCATGTTTCTTCTTCCTTCTTCTGTGTAGTCTGTCGCCGGTCATGGTGAGCTTCCTTCTTTCTCAACCTCTTACACTGTGTTCGTTGTTATGCAAGTTGTGAAAAGTTGAATTATTAGACACATAAGCTAATTGTTAGCTCCTGCTCTGCCTGGACTGAATGGCACCTCTGTCTGGTTAATTTATACTTAACAGTTGTTACTTGTTTATTGTTAGTGCTGCCTACCCCAGCTGATTTTGTTTATTATACCCAGGATGGTCAAAAATAACAAAACATCTGTATAATGTAATGCAGTTCAATAGCTCTGCAGTTCTCTTTAAAATTTGTTAATAGGAGTTGTAGTGGTTTATGTTGCATTACTTTATATTGTGAGACGTGAAAGGATTGCTTCTTTAATCAATTAATTTATAAACAGAAAATTAACCAGCAGGAATTTGATAATGGATTGTTTTAGTTATTTTTTAAACATAAATGCTAAAAAAAAATATCTGGATCATAATTTCATAAATGGAAATGTTTGTCATAGTCTTCAATGACACTAAATGGATTTTGCAATGTTGGTTGGACAAAACAAGTAATTTGAAGATGTCACTATGGGTTCTGGGAAAATGTGACATTATTGAAAATAATTCAGTTAGCTTTAGTAATCATTGGTTGCAGCCCTATTACATTAAGTGTTGTTACTTTGTCCACCTCCTGCATGTAAGTTCAGGTCAGTGTCAAATTAATCTTTTTGATGTTATCTATCTACAGATCAGGTCAGTGCTGCAGCGCAGTTTAACCTCCCATTTACTTTCCTGTACCAGAAGATCATGTCTACTAACAGGTCGGATACTTAATGGTGTGCAGCCTCCTTCACCAGGTCACACACCCGTCCAGCAGCGCTTCCATGGACCCCTTATACCAAAAATCACAGCTCTGGTCAAGTACTCAGACTTGTCCACACAGAAGTACACTATGATTTACACCCTGCCGTACATTAAGCTCCTCAGAGCCGTGTCCAGGCTCAAACTGCTCCAAACTGCCATCACCGTGGTCATCTTGCCCCCAGTGTACGTCCTCTACCTCCAGGGAGATGTCCCCCTCTTCCTTGCCAGCTACACAACTGGGATAGCACTGTTTGCTGGTGTCATGCTATACACTGCCAGTCACATTTTCAGGAGGGTTGTGGGTATGATGTACCTGGACCCATCCCAGACTACACTCAAAGTGTCCCACCTGACCTTCTGGGGCAAGCGCCATGATATCTACCTCCCTGTGTCAGATGTTATGACCATCAGCGACACAGGGGACTCTGCAAAAGAGATAATATTGAAACTAAAGAGATACAGCAGTCCACAGACATTGTATTTCTCCACTCATTATGGACGTGTGGTGGACAAACTAGGTTTTGAGAGAGTCTTTGGAAATTTAAAATGATGGATAATTTTTAAAAAGCATGGATTTGAATCATAATGACATAATGAAATTTAACAAGCCCAATGCAATATTGGGATAATGTGGAGTCTGTTCACCATGGAAGATGGGTAATGAATATTTGAGTGAATTAAGTTTGTGATTGAAAAGTGAGGATGCGTATCTGTGGGCTTCAGCTGCACTTTGAAGTAGAACAACATGCCAAGTAACCAGTGTTGGTAATAATATGTTAATAGTATTTTAAGATTACTGTCATCTGGTAACCAATGACCTAATATGTGATGCAGAAAAAAAGTGAAATAAAATCAAAGTCTGCTTTATACAAGTGAGATTGTCATAATGTTTTACAGGCAAAAGTACAGTGAATTTTTTTTACTAAATAAAATTTCAAAGTAATGAAATGAAGTAAAGTAATGATTTAAAAGAAACTTTCCCCAACACTGTTAGTGACTCAGCTGTGACCAGACTGCTATACAGTATATTACATTTAGAATGGAGACTCATTAATACCATCACACAGAAGATAAAAATGTGATTTATATTCTTATACATGCTTTAACATTGAATCTGAACATGATTGTTGTCAGGTTACTGGTCAGAACCTTGCAGCAAATCAACTACTGCATATTATGTACATGCACAAGTTTTAAATTTTGTCCTCTTCAAATCTGACTGACCAAATGCAATATATGTACCAGTAAATAATAATGAAGCAATATAATCTTGGAGATAGGAGAAACATTCATTACAGTGAAATGTTCTGACTTGCTCTTCAACAGTGGTGGAAGAAGTGCGCAGGTCCTTTACTGTAGTACTCCATTACAAGTAAAGGTCACGCATTCAGAAGTTTACTTAAGTATTATCAGCAAAATGTACTTAAATGTATCAAAAGTTGAGCACTCATGCAGAAATGCAGAAAAATGGCTTCTTTGATAGTGTTATATAATGCATGTATGCATTATTTACATTATTTAAGTAAGTAGCCTTTTACTATTGTAGTTGGTTGGGATGGAGAGAATGGAGTAAACGTCTTTATACACAGCTGGGCAGCTTAATGTGCAAAACCTCAAACCTAATTTTAGACAACTGTGTGTCAGTGCAGTAAGAATACCATATTCAGCCTGTTTTTATTTTAAATCAATTATACATTTTTATCAAATTATCAAAGAGTAGATTTTGTGACATCTGATACTACAAACTAGTAACTATAGCTGCAAAATACATTTAGTTAGAGTAAAAAGTACAATATTTCCCTCTGACGGACAGCAGAGTAGAGGTATAAAGATGCATTAAATGGGAATACTTGAAGACAATAAAAGCACCTCAAAATTGCACCTAAGTACATGTACAGCATTTCAGTAAATGCCCTTAGTTAACTGCCATCACTGCTCTTCAATAATCTGGTGTTACTCACTTTAACAGGAAGAGCTCTGTAACTTTATTTGCTTTGACAAAGATAAAAGAAAAAACAGCTAAATGATCCATTTGGATGCAAGATGAGTCTCAGAAATGTGTTTCCTGGACACCTGCCATATCACTTAGCCCATCTTCAGCTCTGGCAGCATCCAGGGAACAACAGGCAAGCTTAATTTTCCCCTTTCCTCCTGGCTTCTGCCCCCTGGTGGCCTGGAGAGACATGGCAGCAGACATGTTTTATTTCTTACAGTGTATACAGCTGAGGTATTTTCCTTCAACCCTCTATTTAATAAACATGCACAGTACCTTTCTATGGAAATAAATGGCAGAGAGAAACAATGCCAAAGTCAACAGCAGGCCAAGTCTGGTGAAAATAACTACTGGAGAGGCTGAAACAGATTCACAACAATCACATCAAATCATAGACTATCACAAGTACAACAGTCTTCATTAGAAATAAGATTATTATGAGAGATGCTTTAAACTGAAAGTGAAGTACCTTTGCACTAGTCTGCAGCTGTTTTATTTATTTCAAATAAATCAAATCAGCAGAAAATTGGATTTAAGGGAACAAATTAAATCTTGCTAATTCTCTTCATAATGCCTTTTTTGGTTGAAATGCTAAAATGAGAAATAGTCATATTAATTGCTTGGTTCAGACTCTCAGTGTCAGAAACTACCCAATCTTTTTTTTTTTTTTTTTTAGAAATAACCAACCAACATTAGTTTAGTTTAAAATGTGACATGGAAACAGCTTACAGACTCTCCATGCTTCCCAAACTTGAATATAAACACAGCTAGTACCACACTTCACTTCCCTGTCTGATTCAGCTTTACACTTTCCTTCACGTTACCTGGGATACTGAGAGAGAGCAGCTGGCTCTGCGAGGAGAAGTTGTGAGAGAAAACATAGATGTGATAAACACAGCTGTAGTTCACTTGTCGGCCATGGTATCCAGGAGGAAACAGAAAGTGGGCAGTGTGACCGACAGCTTTCTTAGTGTAGGTGTGTGTTGTGCTGGAAGTGAAGACGATGAGCTGGAAAAAGCCTCCTGGGTATTGTGGCTTAATGGAGCAGCTGATGTTGTGGTTACAGTCAATGGAGGGAGAGATGGAAATCATTGGCTGATACAGCAGATCTGTAAAGACAAAGAGAGATGGTTGATCAAGCGGATCACCTCTAGTGTGGCTAAAGCTGCCTGTGACAGACAGGGAGCAGTAATATCACCCAGCATGTCTTTGAAATAACAAAAGTCTTGTCAGGAAAATAAAAACTATGTATGTCCAATAACTGACACAATAACACTGAAATACTTGAGAATCGTGTCCTGGTCATTCGTCTAGTCTGAAGCAATAATGACTGCTTTCATGGTAAAACTGGGTAAACTTCTGGCAGTCGATGTATAATGAGTCGCTGAAAATGATACCTGAGCAGGCGACCTCCAGGTTGGTCGGGGACCACCAGGGCCTCAATGACATATACTCCCTCAGTGCAGATCCAGACTGAGCCCTAGAAGAAATGACTCCCCACACAGATTTTGGTACAGAGTGCTTAACTTTGGATGAAACCACTGAGCCACATTTCAGCTGACTGCAAACTAAAGGTAGTGCCTTCAGGACACCCTCAGCACCATCCACTGGTTTCCAGTCACCCTGGAGTTTCATTTCCAGTGTTCCAGCACAGCGGCTGCCTCCTCCCACCAACCTGACATTATCAGGCTCTGAACAGAAACAAGAAAATAAATAAGTTTATTTTTTACCATGGAAACAGTTGAGAAAAGTCCATTTAGTGGCTCTTCTGGAGTGGTCTTCATTAGCAGAGAGACTTTGCCCAGTTGTCTTTGAACTGTAGATGTTCAAATGTTTATTTTTATCTGTTCTAGCAGCAAGGCTCTAATGATAGCAATGTCGGTATACTGGTCCATCACTTTGGTCCACAATGACATGTCTCAACAGCTACTGGAAGAATTACCATGACAATTTGTACAAACATTCTTGCACCCCTGAGGATTAATTATGATAATGTTAATGATCCTGTAATATGTCCAATATATTGATTTATGGCCAAATACCTACAGAACTGATGACATTCGTAGCAGCTCCTATCTGTCAACAAGGTAAAGCTCCAGTATAGCGACTAAATGGAACTTGTGGTGAGACTGTTGAGCCAACTGCTGTTTCTTCAGTCAATAATAACCATTGAAGCCAACAAGAGAGGAAGTCCTTTAAATGCTCAGATTAAATGGAAATGTGAAGATCTACAATTCCATGACAACTGGACGAATCCCATCTGCTGATGGAGATCATGGGATGGGAACCAAACCTCCAGAAGAGCTGCTTAATGGACCTTTTGGTGAGATCGTTTTCTAAATAAAATAATTCTTGAGAGAGAGAGAGAGGTTAAGTGACACTTGCAACAGAGCATATCGCCTTCTACCTGAGCAGGTGAGTCCTACAGGTGAACAGGTGTTTCTAGCTGACTCGTAGCTGTCACAGTCCAGAAGAGTTGACTCATTTTCTCTGCAGCGGAACTCTTTTGACCACTCAGGAGCCTGTATGTTTTCATATAGCGCCCTCTGGAGTTTTAAAGGAGCCCCACAGCCAAGCTCTCTACAGAACACCTCTGCATGCTGCCAGTCAAAATCACCTTCACACACTGTGGACCACGACTGGTCAGCTCTGACCTCCACTCTGCCTGAGCACAGAGTAGTCCCATTCACCAGCCTGACAGACTCTGCAGAGGGAGAGAGAACGTTTTACAGTGAGTGGTGTTAAAACTGTGTTAATGATAATATATAATAAACAGAACTCTGACTGAATACTCATAAAAAAGTAGATAACAGCAACATAAATGAACCATGTGTATAACATAAAAAAGAAATCCATCAAAGCCACACTGCTTTACTTGCACCTCTGCCATATTGACTCACCATTTGGCAATTTCAACATTACAGAGGCTCGTGCAGCTCTGTTAAGAGTACAATTGTACGAACCCTTGTATCATTTCGTGGTTTCGCAGTGTGGTCTGTGAAACTGCAGTTATGGACTGTATGAGTGGCATTGACCAGGTATTTAACCATGACCCTTGATCTGATATAAAACACTGGTTCAACATTGGAAAGATGGTTAAACATGGTTGAATCTGTGTTCATTATCGCATATCATACATGAAGCATGTAAACTTTTTATATAATATTTGAATGACCTAAAGATAAAAAAAACACTCTGGCCAGATAAATAATCAGCTGACTCCCATTTCACAACTATAAACAACCCAGTACAGTCCATCAGCATGACACTTGTCAGAATGTAGTTTGGTGGAGCCGCACAATCTGGACGATGCCAAGGGAACCAGACTGCTGATTATTAACACAAGGCCTCTGTATGATATGTTTTGCAAAACATCTCCCTTAACTGAGACGTCTTTTAACCAGTTTTATCCAACATAACTTGGTAAACAGATCAATTCAATCAGCAAATTAATTGTTGAAGTTGGAAAGCCTCTTTTGAATGGGTTCTATAGTTTCCTACAAAGGTAATTATGACTGTAATTAGGTACTTTTACTTTACTGAGTATGTCCACTATTGGCTACATTATACTTCTACTTCACTATCAGAGGCTCATATTATACTTTTTATCCCCCTACCGGCCGCTGCTGTTACTACTTACTTTTCATACACTTACATTTTGAAAACTATAATGAGCATGATTCGTTGTCGTACAGAACATTAAACTACTTCAAAGTATAACAAATCATTAAAATTGGGTTCATGTTAGTCAGTGACAACGTGAACTTACTGCTTACATGTTGATGCATGAGCAATCATAAACCAATAATGTAATATACTGTATGCTGATATAACAATCATAGTAGCCATTCTCCTGTCCTTTTACTTTTGATACTTAAAGTACATTTATTCTAATAATATTTACATACTTTTACTTGAGTAAAATTTTGAATGCATGACTTGCACTTGGATTAGAGTATTTTCAGCAGTATTGTTACTTTTACTTGAGGCAAGGCAAGTTTCTCATGATATATACTGAATACTAAATGGATATTTACATGGGTCAAGATGAAGCAGTTCTTTCAAATACATTTCTATTTTTCGAGAGACTGTAAAGATTATCATCATAATAGGATATCACTGATAGTGTTACCTGAGCAGATGATCTCCACACTGGAAGAAGAGTAGTGGGGTTTCACTGATACATACTCTGTCGGTGCAGAATCAGACCGAACATTGGAAGTGTCTATTTTCCATACAAGTTTTGTTGAGAGACCGTTGTTAATTTTTGCAGAAACAGCAGATCCACAGTCCAATTGTCTACACAATGCAGCTGATGTTCTCAGGTTCCAGTCAAAAGAAAGGTCATCCACTGGTTTCCAGTCATTGTGGAGTTTCATTTCCAGACCACCAGCACAGTGGTTAGCTCCTCCGATCAACCTGATATCACCAGGTTCTGAACAGAGACATAGACAGACAGACAGAGAGAGAGTTATCAACACATAAGAAGCAAAACATGACTTTTATTTTCTTTTTTTCTGTCATTTACCTGATGAATTATTTTTTTCTTCAGCCTGGAGTCCTGAAGAGAAGAAAAAAATCAACAAATAAAAATTTATATAAAGCAGTATTATAATTTCATCACAGCTAGATAGAGCAAACACACACACAATAAGCTAATAAAGCAAGCACAGGGAGGGTCAAAGAGGTTGGGGACTAGTCTATAACCTGGATGTCACAGACTCAGCTGGGTGCTGGACCTTGAAGTATTAGGACCCACACTTTAACAGAGTTCCACATTTCAGTTGTGCAAAATAATATAAACCGACAAGCTCAAACCCTGTATCATACATTTATATATATATATATATATATATATATATACACTGTTGCACATATATACACACTGTTGCTCATTAAGTTGGAATAAAACATTTTTTTTAAATATTTTTTAGCGCCAAACAATGTTTGGCATGAATTCGTTTCATCTGGGTAATTGGGACACATAATAGGATAGGAATAGGAATAGGAATAAACAGAGGATTGTGTCTGAAAACAAAATTATTCCAACTTTATGGGCAACAGTGTATATAAAGAACTTTTCAAAATAGAGTTACAATGTGCTGTACAAACATAAAAACAAAACAAAGCAATAAAATATGTAGAGAAGAGCGGCAACGTGTAAATTAACAAGGCTAGTACACCAGGGAGATTTAATATGTGTTAAAACAATGAGATCAATAGAGCGCACAAAAGAAAATAAAACCAAAAGTAAAAAAACAAAGATAAAAGCATTTAAATCAAGAATTAAAAGCTGCTTTATACAAGAGTGTTTTGAGTAATGATTGGATATATGTTTACTGTATATACATATATATATATATATATATATATTCAGAATAAGTTTTTTGTTAACTTTATTTTATATCAATATAAAATACAATTTTACAAGCTCCTTTATCAACACAAGGTTTGCTCAAGACTAACGGTGTTGCCACTTAAGTGAAGTATGTGTATGTATGTCACTCACAGCCATCATTAACATTATACATTACATAGCCCTAATATTAACTACCACAACGAAGTGCCTAACTGCAACCATATAACTGACCTTCACCCTAAAAATAAAAGTCTTAACCCTCAATTACCACACTGACACAAGACATAACATCCAAAAAATATCATCACTTTCTAAATCTAAATCTCTAAATGGTTCCCACAAAAGCAGAACTTCAAGAGCACACATATCTCAACTCTGGCTGCTCCCCGCCATTTCAAAATCCAGCATTAAAAACAGTCCTACCAGAGATGCAGAGCAAAATGAACCCTGTTAATATGAGATTCATATCCTGTTGTTCTCCGCTGGTCTGTGCCTTTTGCTGGTTTGCTGTCTGTCTTTGCTTCTTATGCAACTACATCTCTCTGACACACCAGATCCCCCTCTGCTAATCAAACAACTGATTCCATCCTTTATCTCCTCTGGTAAGTTCCTGTGGTTTTTCTGTAAAACTTACTAACTCCAATTTAGAGCTGAGGCACAACACCACCATCTGAATTTGCTGTTGAGCCACTATAAATTCCAGGGTCATTCATATTTCAAATGATTGAGGCTTCTCTTCTTTTTTGCTTTCCCACTAACGCCATAACATCAGTTGGTTGAACCTACTTGTTAAGCAGAGGTCGAAATGACAAATTGGTATCATAAGCTCTGTTGTAATTTAATGTTCAAGTTGAATTTAATCAGCAGTGAACAAAATCAAAACAAAAAAAAGTCAAACGCAAACAGCAGTTTTGGGACTCCACTGAAAACAGTTCAACAGCACAACAAATTGCAACTGCCTCCAAAATGAGTAGGCGATATGTCAACTGAGTGTACATTTTGTATGTGCTGAGTGATGCTTATCTTAGTTCCTGCTATGAGTGACTGCGCAGCACTACAGTGAATGACAGATTACGGCTGTTTGGAATTACAGTAATGAAGCACGGACATTTTTTGCTGACCAGTATCATATAAATACTGCACAGTCTTAGAGCTTTTAACACTCTGCACCAAAAGCCATTTGTTTACATTGTATTTCCATATGGAATTGAGTTTTTCTCAATGTTATATTGTTATTATGAGGTAAAGCAAATCACTTTGCGAGTATCATGCATCCAAAAATGTAACGCTGACAAAATATTATAGTGTAAAAATGATCCTGATTGTTGCAGGATGTATCTGTCATTACAATATGCCCATTTTAACCTTTTAATGCTTTCTGAAAGCACAGATGCACAGAAACAATGAGCTCGAGTGTTTTCAAATATTTGTAAGGACATAAAATGCAAGTATTTCAAAAAGATGTAATTGATGTCACCGTTTTCACTGACTGACAAAATGTGCAAGTTGTACATCAGTGCATCTTTAGGCAGCAACACATTCAACACAATGTGTAATTCTCTTTCATATTAAATCCATTCAACTAAAAATATAACCACACGGACGAAGAGTATGCATTTAATATTTCTATATGGTAAAATGCCTCTACCTCTGTATGCATTTTACCGCTGAATACAGCATACAAACCACATGCATCATAAAGTCTCTTTTCATGGTCACACTACAGTTGCATCACAAGTTGGTTCAGCAGAAACGAGTGCTATCATTCAGGGAAAATAAGAAGAAATAAAAACCCAACGAAAAATGTCAATGAACAACTGCGTCAAATGTTTGGCAAAAAACATTATTTAAAAAATGTTTAATTCCTGGTTTATTGTGTGCTACTTGCAGACAGTGCGAGTCACAATAAAGAGGATAAAGTTTGGATGGATGCAACAGTTTCCTCCTCAGATGTGATTCTTGGCAGAGCGAGTGTGTCAGAGCTCACACAAGGTACCAGGCAGTGAACCCGGCAAGGACGGCCACGCAGGCAGCAAGGGCCACCTGACAGGGCGGATGTCTGAGAAGCATCATGGCTAACTGGCACACATAGGTGGGATTTCCACTGGCAGCTGTAGAGAAGGTGGAGGAAGTGAAGGAAAACAATAAAGGGATGAGACCAGACAAAAAGCAGGAAGGCTGGATTCATCATGAACAAGTCATTTCATTGATTTAAACCTCGTCAGCCTATGGTAGATTTCCTACCGCACATGTGCTATTACAGGTAGATAGTTTGAGCTGCCTATCACCTGGGCTCCATCACTAAACTATCTCTAAAATGCAGAGGGGTGAGTCTGTACAACTGCTGTCATACTGACACCTAAGGTTTGGTTTTAAGCGACTTACTTTCCCTTTTTTGTATCTCTAATTTTGAGAATGAATGTGCGTCTTTCAGACCTAAACCCTTCAAATGATGTCTTACCCATTTTTGCAGCATAGTAGGGGCACTTGTTGATATCACCTCCCTGCATGATCTCTGCATGACTGTGTCCAAGACCTGCATCTTGGACTTCCTCTTTGATGGTCTCCCCAATCTCTTCCAGCTCTGTGAATACCTGTTTTCAGAATAAAAGTAGGTTTTTGTCATAGTTTTATCTTTTCCCCCAAAAAACAATGTGTCCCTTTGTTGGATTTTTTTCTGCAGTGTTTCTCTATCATGATCATTTTTGTGAATATCTGTTATCTGGACTCAACACAACCCAACCTCCCTGCTCCCTCACCATCATGTTAAAGCCAAAGGCCCGGTTGGACTCATCCACAATCCTCTCCTTGGTGTCAGCGTCCAGTTCCAGCTCGTTCATCCTGCTTCGGTAAAGCTGCTTGAAGCCCTTGTGACTGTGGATACCCTCAAACTGGTAGAAGTTGAGACCCTCCCCCGTTGAGGGGAGCTTCAGTGCCCTCTGGGCCACTTTCTTCAGGATCTGTCCGCCTGAGAGGTCCCCCATGTAGCGGGTGTAGGAGTGGGCCACCAGCAGCACTGGGTCCTTCCCTCCCACCTCGTGGATGCGGTCCACGTAGGGCTTGGTGCCTGCAGAGAGGCTGACCTGTGAGAGAGGACATAAAACAAAGGTCAGGAGGTTTTGCAGTTGTGCCATGAAACTTGCTCTTATGTCTTCTTTGATCATGGATGTCAACATGATTGTTTTGGTTTTAGTCCATTTTATCATGCTATCAGCTAAGGAAGAAAAACTCACTCCAATAACACTAAATGAATATTGAAGTTGGGTGAAATGCACTGCCTGCATCAGCACTTTAAGGCACACTAGTTCATGTCTGAATTTCAGTGGTGGTGCAAGAGGCACCAGGTGATTGATGATATAAAGGGCAGCCATGTCTCTTATATCATGAGACTGACATGCAGCCTCTGTGTCCTTTCTGCTGACCTGGCTCTCCCAGTCCTCTCCATAGAAATGCTCGAGATCCCTGGCCAGGGCCTCACGCCTGTGAAGCTCTGTGGGGAAATAGATTGGCGCGATGTGAGGATGATCTTTGTTCTTCTCTATCTCTTCCTCCATGGCCGAGTAGACGAAATACAGAGCTGCTGTACCTCTCTGGAAACAGAGAGAGAGAAAAAGTGGGACAGACTCACAGATAAAACAGTAACTGCCATGGGTAATGTAACATTTCTATCCGATGATTTAGGTAATTGTAAGAGAAATTTAGAAATCCACACACATCGCATACTTTTGACTTGTGAACTTTTTTTTGGCAACTGATAATTTGCAAATTTCCTTCGAATGTAACAAGCAAGACACGGCGTAAATTGAACCAGGCAAAAGGATTATACTGTACCGCTAAATTCTGGTTGCCAAAATTGATTAACAATGGTTGGGCCAAAGATGCTGCAAAATCTGCTCATTTCCATTTTCTTATTAAATGTTTTGATTAGGTTTCACCACATTAATAAATGTACTTTATATTTTCATACTATGTTCTCAAACAGATCAAAATATAAGTAAAAATCAAACAATAAACATCTGGATCACCATATTAAAAACCCTCTTATTAATGCTGCTAATGGAAATGGACTGTTTTCGATGACATCATTAGAGGTTGGACTTATTATGAGCAACAGCAACGCAGGACGACTTGGAGCCCAACCTTAAACAGCTCCCTTTTGATGCGACCTCTGAGGAAATCTTTAACAAACTGGCAGTTCTCCGCTCTGTCGTGGGACTCCTTGGTCCCCTCTGCCAACATCTCGGAGAGGTCGGTTGGCCTGGGTGGAAGAGGGTTGAAAAGAGAAAGGAGAAAGAGAGGCCGACATAGACACTTGCAATTTAAATGCTTTCTACAGTGAATCTATCAGCAGAGGACTGCCAGTGCCAAAACAGGCTGCTGACCACAGGGGTTTTCCTCCATACCTAAGAACTTCATCATCATCATCCACAACAATCCTTGCCCCTCCGTTCAGCACACCGTTGGATTTCGGCTCTGATGTCACCTTCGTTTCCATCTTGCTGGTTGTCTCACAGTGTTCTTACCTTAAGTAAGCAGGAGAGAGATAAAGATATACTGATCAAATGTATTACATCTATGATGATATGGTATGAGAAAACTAATGCCAGAAGCTATGATTCATTCCTGTGTGTTCATACAACAGCAAAAAGATGGAAAGTGAAGCATCAGGATTAGGCTCTAAGGATAAAAGCTTCTATGACTGACAATAAAAGGAAACTGCTTCAGATAAAACACTTATTCTTAATGACATGTCAATATTGTGTAAAGCTCCTAGAAATCCATGGTCCGTGTGTGAGTGTAAGTTTTGTTAAACATCAGTTTCCTATAGGGTTACAAAGCACTTATATGGCATTATAGTAGCAGTTTTTGACACGTATTTTTAAAGAAAATATTGCTCTGAAACTGACATGCCGGTGGTTACAAAACTGTCATTGCGCGTCTTCGGTATTGTGCAAGCGAAGTAGCAACAAGACATAGCTCTGTGAACACCGTGTAGACTTATAAAAATCGCTTTCTGTCAGTGTAGACACACGTACACACTAAATGTTTTTACTTTATATATATAGAAAATGGGGATAACACATTTGTTTACCTTGTTAAAGTGCTGCTGCCACGACCGTCTCAGAGCAGAGGACACCACGTACAGGGGGCGCGGTTCTCATGACAACAAACCAATCAAAGGTCTCTCTGCAGAGAAGCGGCATGCTGATTGGTGAGATCTTTACACCGTTCACCAATCGTGCTTCTCAACACAGAAATGAGGCCTCGTGCATGTTTAGTTGATTGATAAAATTAAACGAGTGTTGCAAGAAATTAAGTTTGCTCCGTTTGAGTCGATGCGTATTTTATTTTAAAGCTGCATTAGCGAAGGTTTCACACCATTTACGGTTGAATAAACACACCAGCAAAAATCCTGCCGTCTAGGCCAATGATTATCGTTACTAATACAATCTTATTCAGATAATTTCTGCCTGAGCTTGTGTTGAAATGAACTGTTTATTTTCATTTTTAATTTTTAATGTAAACCTACCTGCAGAGAGACTTCAAAGACAGACTTGTCCATGGTTGCATTCACAGATCCATACTCATCACCACACTCTGTAATGTAGTATCTTATTTAGGCCACGAGGTGTCATTAGACACCATGCAATGTACCTCGAACGTGCATCAAATGGTCATGCTATTTTGTTTAGCAGCTGAACAGTGTACTAGTAATCCAGGTCAGTAATGCAGATGGAGCAGGAGGTTGCTGTCTCTTCTCATAAATGCACTGGTGATTATTTTACAGCCAGCAACTCCTGTTCTATGAATATTTTTTTTTATTGTAACAATACTTCTAATTCTCTCACCAAACTCTGCAGCAGCTATCCCCATTTGTAGCTGTAAACCCTCATCATTGTTTTTACCTTGAGTTATATCACAACATTCTTTGCTTGTCATTGCTTCTTCGATATGAGGCCACAGACATAACAATATGTCTGGCTCTTGCACCAGCTGACAATGCATAGGAACTATATGGTTTACATCATGTCACTGTAATATTTTGTATTGTTTGCCCTCCCTATGGCCTGCTGTTTATATTACTGTTTTCTGTTAATCTATACATCTACTCAGCCTGAAACATCCACCAGATAGGGACTGTTATTGTGTGGTTGCAGTCACACCCTAGATAAAGAACATCCTCAGTTCACCTATGGGTTCCCAGAAGAACACTTGAGAACATGAACAAAGGAACAAAGGTGGTGAATTGGAGTTTTTTCCTCTGCAAAACCTCCGTGTATTGAAAGGGATTCTGGCAGCTCTGAGGCCTTCTTTCATGTATTGAAGGGCCCTGGAGAGCCCTGCTCCACTGTAGGAAAACCCCACTTCTGCTTGTTGCTGTCTTGCTCCAAAATGTCCAACTACAGACCCACCTCTGTTTGTTTTTGTCATTGTTAATAACCGAGACGAGCTTCCTATGATCAACAATATTGCATTGACCTCGACTCCATTGCTGCCGGAATGATTCTGCTTTTATATTCAACACAATTTCCTGTGTTTATGAACATTTTGGCCGCTCTTCTCTGACTCATTAGTCATTAACAATATATAGGAAGGTGCACGCAGCTTTTTAAAAGTGGTGTGTAATACTCTTAAGTATGCCTGACCGCTTGTGTATTCCCAAAGAGGCATTTATCACAGTGCAACCTAGATACTATCATGTTTGGATCACTCCCTACAAGTGCTAAACTGAGGCCACTGCTCCCTGGGGTTTACATGACGCTGCTATGATCAACTGCCCAGCCATACCAGAACCTGGTAATCACACATCTACCATGTGGGTAGTTTGTTCCCTCACATTGTTTACCACATTCCAGATTGTTTTTGGCACAATATTTTGGATCTTTATTACACAAAAGGGAAACCTTCCTGTCTGTGAAGGATTTCCTCTTGTTTTCAATAATGAAAAGGCTCAGGCTAAAATAATCCAAAGCTTGATTCATTTTGGCTCAGTTCAAATTTTAGAAGTGTTTTTTTTTGTCAAGACTAGTTGGGGATGGTCACCACAGTGGTGATATTTTGTGATTTTGTTTCATTCAGTGAAATTTTTCAGATGTTTGACCAATTATACCAAACTGTACTTCAGTCCTTGGCATTTTTGGTCTGTCATTGTCAAAACATTTGGCTCATTTCCTCCTTAACTAATATGACCTAACAATACTTCTTATTGCTATGGAAACATATCATTACAGTCTTAAAGTCTTATGTTATCTGCTTAGTTTTAGCACACCATCCATGTCACATATCAACACAGTACACTGTATATAGCTACATTTTTCAGTGAGTTAACATTAGAGGAACACTTAGGTATTTTAGAAAATACACTTATTTGCTTTGTGAGTGGAGAGATACCGCTCTGATGCATGTGTGTTAATCATGCAGCTAAAGCCAGTAGGCAACACATGGAAACACATGGAAGCAGCTAGTCTGACGGTTCAAAAATATACCTACCACCAACTCTAAAGCCCACCAATGAATATGTTGTATCTTGTTTATTTAAGCCATACTCAAACAAAAATGTAGGAAATGACAATTTGTGGTTTGGCAGGGAGACACTGCTTCCAGCTACTGTTCACCACAAAATAGTTAAAGCATGTAACTCTCTGTAAAAACTCAACATGTTTTTACTCTTCTGTTTGTGTATGGATTAAGAAGACAAGATACTACATATTAATGACTAGAGAAACCAGTAGGAGTATTTTTGAACTTTGAAGAGAGCCAGGCCAGCTGTTTCCCTCTGCTTCCAGTTTTTATACTAAGATAAATTAATCACCTCTTGGCATGGCAGACTTCAGTGTGTATTTCCAGAATTTTGGAAACTTGTTACTTAATTAGACAGAGGGATATGCTGAATATGACATCAACAGCAATCTTTCCTTTGATAATAATTACTTTTTTTTTCAATGACAAAAATGTCATATAGGTGCAAGTGTGAGTGTTGTTTGGAAAATTGTATATTTGAACACTAATGGGGTCCATGTGCAACTGCTCAAAACAAGTAATAAATTATTTTACTGTAGGAAACGGCACTTCCTCAACAAATTACACCGCCAATGTTTTTTACTTTAATCACAGTAGATAATATTAATGGCCATAACATTTATTAACAGCTAATCAGTATGGATCCCACATTTTAAAAAGCCAGTGAAGGACATTTCTGCACCTGCTGATTGAGATTCTTGTTCATACACTCTCACTGCATGCAGGACCTGGTGTCGCTTTATGTGAGACGGATTACTGAAGAAAAGATTTAATATTTGAGAACCCAACAAGAACAAAAGCATTACAGTGATATGTGTATCTAACAAGAGTGCAAGGAGCAGATATGTTTCCTCACCTCCTGTTGGATACAACACTATCGGTTTGCAACAGAGTGGCAGCTACCGGCCATACTTTTCTGATTTACAGCCATAGAAAGTGAACAGCTTTGCGTCTCTGGTGGTTTTCAGGGGCGGGGGCCTTGGTACCATAAATCCTGGTGGCTGTGGTGGCCTGCAAAGAGTGTGCTTAACCCTGCATCTGCTTTATAATTAGAAACATACCTAACTGCATTCGCAGGCAGGAAACAGCCCGGGCCTCCATGTGTGCGAGGCTGTAGGGTAACAAAAAGAGGAAAGTATACACATGGGGCAAGCATGCGATATGATCACGGTCTGGTGTTTGAGCGCTGCGATCACCTCGTTAGAATGTGCAGGTGGATGGGAGGGCAGGATGGAGAGAACCTACGAGACAAAGTAATGAGACGGGAAAGGAATAGTCATCCTGTTACTGTATGTTTCAATTAGACATCAGTGAAGTACAGACAGAGCTCCGCAGGTTGACTCATGTTCATGGACCAATGGGATTTGACTGTTACAGTACATGTACAATTCTTTTGAACACATGTGTGAGCTTAGCATGGAACAACAGTTCTGTATTGTTTGTCAATGTATATTTCATACCGAACACTTATTTTTATTTCAATATCAGAAATGTTGTCAAAACCAAACAGAATTTTGAATATAAAGCTGTTTACAATGTAAAAAACATAAGCAACAAACAGTAAATTTAACTTAATTAACTTAATGTCTCAAATTCAGGCTTCATCCAACTTAGCATTTTTACTTCTGTTATTACAGGTTAGAGCAACATAGTATTTATCTTTATCACAACTCAGAACTTTTACTTTTATTAATTTGCTCAAAGTTAAAGCATCTCATATCTGTCTGCTGTATCCTCTTTGTATTTTTTAGTTATGAATGGGCACTGAATTTTAATCTTTTATATAATCAAGGTTTATTCAACACAGCTTTTGCTGCCAATATTAGCACTCTGTCAAAGGTAATTGTTCCTCAATACAACCACTACATCACACTTACCTCCCACAAGCAGGGTGCAGGAAGTGACTGAAGCACAGAGCTATCTTCATCATGGTTTGCATTGTTTTACTTTTGACCAGAGAGAGAACACCTCAGAGACACATAAGAACAATACATACGGCTTTCATCATCTAACTTTTATTATTTTAGAAAAACAATTTCTGCGGAGACTTAATACAATGCATGCTGGGGAGTACATGCAAATAAGCTAACAATATTTCTAAATAAGTTAAATTGATGAGTTAACTAAACAATACATCAGACGTTTACCAACATTTTACCAACTGAAAGTGATAATTAAACTATATAAACTCAGCAGAACTTTCTCTTTTTGTGAGATTCGAAGTCATCAGGATTTCTTCACTTCAGCTTCATTTGTTGGCACGATATCATTTTTGAATTCAGATGCTGAAGTTTTTAACGCCTAACAACCTCTTCTTGTTGCAGATATTCTCCAGTCATGATCCATGTGTGCTGCTGTCACTGAAAGTAAGTTGTTTATTTGTAAGCCAGACAAGTTCTTGTGATGAAGAAGATCTTGCTCTGCTGAACTTGGCTGAACTTGCAAGCTATTTGCTTGTAGGTTATTTGCTTTTTTCACCCCCCGGCATTCAGTGATCCCCTTTATACTTCATCTGTGATCCACTATGTCTCCAAGGAAATCTAAAACATATGGGCAAACATTAAGTCTGATTAGAAACCATATATATTAGTGGGAAATGGGAAATCCTATTGTGTAGGTGAAAACAGTTACAT